GAGCTTTGGGGTTTCTTTCCCCTGTGACCCATCTCTGTAAAGGGCCTGTAAATCTTGAACAAGCCCACAAAAGGCTCATGGTGGTCTTCAAAGCATTGCTCTTGCGTATCAGCAGAGTCAGCGATGACTCTATCCAATGCATTAATCAGGACCCAGGGACATAAAGGGCACGTATTTCAATGAGCCCTGTCCCAAGCTTGCCGGATATTCAAGGCAGCTGATAGACTTCCTGTCTTGACTTCCTGTTGGTCTTTTGAATGCCATTTGTCGATCTTTTCCGCAAGAGGAATTGAAAATATTTCGGAAAATGTTCTGACTGACGCTATATCTTCAGGTAGATCGAGAGGTTCAAACGCTAGACGAGCGTGACCCCAAAGGTCATGAACAATCGTGGAAACGCATATCGGGTTTTCGGAGTCTCTGTACATGATTCTGGAAAGGGTGTCTGAGACCTTCTACAATCCAGGAGTGATATGTGTTGAGTGTAGAACGACGACGTCCGTTTTTCATTGGGACTTGGGCATTGCCCAGAATATAGGCTGCCTAAAGACCGTTGAGGCACAAATCCCTGGAACGAGAGTTAGTCGCATTGATCTAGGGGGTGCATGGTAGGAAAGGTAGTTACGCTTCGATCCGATAAAATCGATATTGAGCACCTCCATCATCGAAAGAATGAAGTACAAAATTTGGCTCTGCCCTTGCGGCATCTTCATGTTGGTATGTAGAAAGAGACGCCGCCCCATAGTTATGAGGCCATGTACGAATATAAGCAGTAGAAAAGGCCACCTGACCTTTTTCTAGTAAAAAAATGGGGCCATAAGATAGATATCTTGTCAAGGTGAGGAAGATAGATGTAAGAGAGATGGATGGTGAGGAGTCAAGGCGGGTGGATGGGGGATATTTATGAAGAGGATTAGTAGGATTATTAACTCATTGCCTCGTGTCGGCGATGAATGATATCTTACGATTAACTAGAGGATGTCTTGTGTGAATTGAGATGGTGAAGTTGATGATGGGCAGACTACGAAGGTCGCTTTTAGGGCTTAGGTGAATGGCTGGTTCTGTAGGAATTCTCTTTGATACCAAAGCAGGAGAGCGAAGCCAAGTACTTCTCACCGGAAATTAAAAAGCAGCACTGTGAATTGAGCCCCACTCAGTGACAAATTCTGCAATGTCTTCCTGGTAGTCCGAGTGCTATGCTGACCAGGCGCTCAAACGAGCTCGTTCCTCTCTGGGTGACAGGGTTGGATGTTTGCGGTAGGACACGTATCAGGAACTCGGCCCCTTCCCATGGTAGAGATGCGTATCCCGTACTGTCAGAGACAGGGTAGGGTGCCTTGCAAATTGACCAAGCATAGGACACAAGCATACATGTCAAACATTCTAACATGGAAAAACATCGCGATCGTATTACGACTTATCCAGACACGACGCATGGACGGTCTTTGCCCTAGACAGCGACACATGGTCTGGATGTAGAACCCCTATTATCAATAAGCAAGATAACTATATCCGATGTAGTCCCAACATGCGAGTCAGAAAAACAACTCCCCAGACCCCGAATGACAAATAAACATGCCAGAAATTCATAGTTATCCGACCCTATCTGTCAGTCCAAATCTTACAGCCGAGTCTACGCCGCCAACAGACCCCGGATAACAAGCTCTCCCTGTTTATCCGACACTAACGATTCCTTCGACGATCAAACACAACCCTCGGTGGCGAGTCCCCGCCATCAGTGGGCTCGGATAAAGAAGAGGCGCACTGCTAGCTCTGCTATACGGCATCATCCTCGAATCATGCCCCGCGGATAGAGAAGGGCCAAGACGACGGAACGGTCTTGGCTCGGACGAGCTACAAAAAGCTTCTGGTCACCCCGCATCGGTCAGCATGCTTCCCCGTGGGGAAGGCCCATGCTTTCATTTGACATGTCATGGGAGGGGATGGGCAGCAGCTTTTCCGATGCGTGAGAGGCTTGGCTTCGTGGGTGGATTATATTATGTAGGACGGCCATGCGGAGGGGATGTGACCTTTTTGCTTGACATCTTGACTTGTTCGAGTTTGACAGCCGACTTTCCTTGAGGAAACAGAGCACCGTCGCCGATATGGAAATAAAATCAAATGACGTGGCGAAGCGAGGAGAAGAGCATATTGAACATGTCGAGCAGAACGATGAACCGTTGAAGTCCACTACGCAATATGATCGATTCGGGTCGGCGAAGAAGACGGATCCGAAGGAGATTGCGCTGGTGAGGAAAATTGATATCTACATGATGGTAAGTTCTCTCGAACATCGTCGAATATGTGAAGCTAATATGTAACCAGCCCATTCTCTGGCTCATGTACTTCCTCAACTTCCTAGACCGAAATGCCATGGTCAATGGCAAGCTCAACAGTTTGTCGTCAGACCTCAAGTTAGAAGGGACGCAGTACAACACCTGCGTTAGTATTCTATTTGTTGGGTAGGATGATAACCGTAACGCTATGACCATCCCATGAGGCTAATATGCTCCCAACTGCAGATATCTGCTCGGCCAAGTCCCCTCGAACATGCTGCTCAACCGAGTCAAACCATCTCTGTTCATGGGCGGCTTCATGACCGCCTGGGCCATCGTCTCCATCCTCAACTGCATCGTCAAGGACTACCACGGCCTCCTCATCTGCCGACTGATTCTCGGCATCGTCGAATCCCCCTTCTACCCAGGCGCTCTCTTCATGATCAGTCAATTCTACAACCGCAAAGAAGCCACCACGCGCATGGCCATCCTCTACACCGGCAACATGCTCGCGAGCGCCTTCTCCGGGCTGATCGCCGCGGGAGTCTTCGCCGGACTCGATGGCTCTCACGGCCTCGCCGGATGGCGCTGGCTCTTTCTCATCCAAGGCGTGATCACTCTCGTCGTCGCCCTGTCCGCCTTCTTCCTTCTCCCCGACTCACCCCTTCAAACACGGTGGTTGAGCCCAGAGGAGCGCCAACTCGCCCATGACCGCATCGCGCGAGACACGACCCAAAAGCAAGAAGGAACCAGCACCTGGGTCGGACTCCGCGAAGCCTGCACGGACTACCGGACATGGATCTTCGCACTGATGTGCAACCTGCATCTGTCAGCCAACGGGTTCAAGAACTTCATGCCCACCGTCGTGAAGACCCTCGGCTTCAGCTCCACCGTCACGCTAGTTCTCACCTGCCCGCCCTATCTCATCGCCACATTCACCTCGATCGCAGTCTCGTGGTCCTCGGGCCGCTTCAACGAACGCACCTGGCACGTCACGGTCTCGAAGGCGCTCGCAATCGTCGGGTTCGCAGTCGCCTGTGGAACGTTGAACGTGGGCGCGCGCTACTTCGCCATGGTCCTCTTCGTCGGCGCCACGTACGGCGTCAATAACATCAACATCGCCTGGGTGGCCGCGACGGTCGGGCAGACGGACGAGAAGAAAGCCGTGGCCATCGCGTTGACGAATACCCTAGGGAATCTGGCGAGCGTGTACACACCGTATCTGTGGCCGGATTCGGACGCCCCGAGGTTCTCACTGGCCATGTACTGCAGTATTGGGTTCTCGGCAGGCGTGGTGGTTTGTGCGTGGATTATGAAATTTATTTTGATCCGCGAGAATCGGCGCATTCGGGCGATGGATTCGGAGGCGATTAACTTCTACGCGTACTAGGAGGGAGCGGAGAGGAATGTAATGTCGGTATTGTTACGAGTTGTGCAAGCTGGGTAAGAAACTGGAGTTTGGGGGGTTTGGTTTTTTTTATTGTTTAGCCCTGCTGGTCAATGATTTTATATGTGATGAGGATATGATAGCTGTGGCTGGACTTATCCCTAGTCAGTACAGAAATTGGAAAAGCAATATTGTCCAAAACACGTTTCTATGAAGGAGTCTATTTTTAGAAGTCTACGGAAGTGTGGCCCGGCATGGTAATCTAATCTAACTGACTGGGGGATTTTCTCCAGAATAGACATTGAAATCATCTCTTATGAGACCGATATTTCAATAACGCCCTGTGTTTTTCTTGCAGCACGGGCGTTCGTGTTCCTTAGTAGTTTGAGAATACGAGCCAAGTAGCTTATATTAGAACAATTGGGCCGGTAAAAGAAGCAAAGATAAAAGATAACAACAAAAATAAACAAATGTATAAAGAATCAATAAACAGCGATCATGTAGGATTTCTTCGTTTCGTTTCTATCTCAAACCCTCCGCATCTTAATGATATCACCTCAAACAGCGTAAGCTGACTGGCGTCGATCCTCGATCCTGGTGGATCCAGATCGGATCCCCCTCCTTCTTCCCCGGACCGCATCGGGCTACACATGGCGTTTCAGGGTTTATTGGGGGTGGTTTTAACTTTATTTGAGCTTCGTATTGCTGACTGTACCCTATAATTCACGTTCATTCTACTTCGCCTTCAGATAATTTGGTGCTGTGTAAGGATAGGAGTGGCTATGCTGGGTTTGTAATCAATGCGGCATAACCCTACGCGCTGGTGTTCCGCTCCTATATACCCTTTTCAGTGTCTGATTTCTAAGTAATCCCATATTATGGGATGCGGTTGGACATGGTCTTATCAGCTGTGGACGTCTACAGAGCGAGTGCCAAGAGAATGGGGGTTCCCGGCGATTTCTTTTCCAAGGGGGCTGAAAGCTGATGGGGATAGGCAGTGCAGGGGCAGAATGAAGAGTATCTCTGTTTTTTATGCTCTTGAAGATGATTTCCCACGCTGCACTCAAACAGCCACTGGTTTCAATGCTAGGTCATGAGGTCTTTGTTGTCGGATCCTGGCCTGGGCTGAATGTGACCATTTCGTTGCAACTATCATCAGATGGGAAATAGACAGAGAATGAGAAAAGATATAAATCTGAGCCATTAGACCCTTCTCAGCTTCAATCACAAAGACATCTCCAGTTCTAATTCCCTCCTGAACATACTGTTCTCGCAAATCAAACAATCAAACGACTCAAATCAGAACAAACCAGACCAAAGCAAGTCAATCCCTCGAAATGAGAATCCCAACCTACGTCTCCATTTTTCTCGCCGTTCTCGTCTTGGGTGCCGGCGCCTCTCCTATCGCAAACGAAGGATCCGATGTCCCTGCACCAAACCCCGGAAATAATCCTCACGGCCCGGGACAAGGTGGTGATGGCGAAGGTGATGGTCCCGGACAAGGAGGACAAGAACATGAGAACCCCGGAGAGGGCGATGGCCCGGCGTGGAAGGTCCGTCGTGTGGTGGAGACGGATGTGCCGGGTTTAATTCAGACAGGTGTTGTTGGGTTGCCGACAGCTACGCCGTCGTTTTAGGGGTCGTTGCTAGGAATTTGGATGAATTGAGATGGTCGGGGCTTTGTCAGAGATGTGGCTGAAGCTTCATGGGCGAGGTGGTAATCACTGGTAATCACTGGCGGATGCGAGCCGGGATTTGTCGTCTGGTCTGGTTTTGCGCAAGTGAGATGGGTGGTGATGATCTGCGGTGGAACAAGCCAGAGCAACAGTTTTTTTTTTTTTTTTTTTTTTTTTGTTTTGAAGGATTTTTGTATTATATATTGTCTGGCTTTGCTGAGAAGGAGAACAAGAAATGGAGGGGTATCGCGGAAATCAAAATCGCATTCATCGACATTTATTACCTATTTATCGCATAAATCATTCCTACAAGATGGATTTAGATCAGTTAACCGGCCCAATCCCAAGATTCAATCAACCCACTCACCCCATAAGCATTGCGCCCGTAACTCCGGTAAAAGCAATTCAAACAAATCAATACCTCGAACCACTGCCGGTCTCGTAGTCTATGCGTCCATTAGCATCGCCATCACTCACACAGCAGGCCCAAAACAAAAAGAGGAATGGGGTTGAACGTACACCCTGCCTCCACGTCCCTATTACCATTCCTATTATGACGATACCCTCCGGTCCCCACGGCCTTCGACTCCCTATGAAGCCTACCCATGTTCTTCAATCGCACCGAGCGCATGTAGAGTCCCTGCTCGCGCGGCGGGCTGAATTGATCTTCTGTCCGATTGGGAAACCATTGTTTCGTGAGGGCGGCACCGAGCGAGACAACGGCGAGACAGGCGACCACGACGATGACGATGATAGCGGCGGTAGGAATACCCATTTGGTTTGTTCTGGGAGTTTTGAGTTGCGATGATGATGGTGGGGTTTTTTGGCGGGGTCTTGAGGTCTTGGGTGGTTGATGTGGCGGAGTGAAATGATGGAAACAATGAGCTCATTCAATTGTAGGAGACCAGCTAGTGGGAGGTGATGAAAGGGAATTGAGATGCGCTGTGCCTTGTTGGCTTGCTTCGTGTCACGTCACCTAGTAGTCGGTTGAAAGGTAGATAATCAAATAGATGGAGGTGAGCAGGGTTGATGGCATATTGCGACTAGGATGAAAAAGAGAAGGATGGAGAGATGGTGATGAGGAGAGGATGACGATGAGGAGAGAGGATTGTCAAGTGACCGTCTCGTCCTGGTGCGGGGAATTCTCACTGGCAGCGGAAGATGCCTGGTGGCTGCCTGTTGCGTTGTACGACGCCCGTCGTGTGTGGCGGTGATGTCTCACCTAGTGTGAGGTCTAGATGGTCGAAAGTGAAGTGCATTCATTTAGTGGTGATCTCCCCACTAGTGAGTGTCTAGACCCCAAAGCTTAAGCATGGTCGATACTGCGGCCTCTATAGTAGTAGATGGAGTGAACCTTTAGCCTAACCCACCAATCCTCAGCCCAAAAGATACCCAGTCGCGCTGTCCGTGAAACGAACCGATTTGGATGGTCTTGAAATACTCGGGTTTAAAGGAACAGGCGTGGTTGAGCCCGAAATCCCCGAATCTCTTTATCCCACCAACCTCAGGCAACCACATTCACAAGCCCATTACCGGCTCCCTGCTCTCTTCTTCTTCGCAAAACAACCATCAATTTCCCCGGAAACAAAGCAAAATTGTCCTGTGCGTCGTCTTCAAATTGCCGTAGATTTTCACCCGGCGCAAAGTCAAAATCAAACTCCATGACGAGCCGCGCGATGGTCGTCCGAAGATTCATCAAGGCCAGCGGTTTGCCGATGCAGCCCGATTGTCCTGTCATGGAGGAAGTTCCTTAGCCATACCAAACAAGTGATATCAAAGGGAGGAGTGAAAGATGCTTACCGATCGAAAACGGGGCAAACGCGGATTTATCGCGAATTAGCTCGGGAGAACTATACCATCGTTCGGGGATGAAGGAGTTAGGGTTGACGTAGCATCGTTCCGCTGAGCACGCCGTTAGCATTCCCTCCAAGCCTGGTGAAGAATGTAATAGCGAAAGAAAAGGGAGGGAGAACATACATCTTCCCAGCACATATTGCGGACACATGACCGTCATGCCACCCGGAATCCATACTCCCTCGATGAGGATACCCTCCGGCGGTGTCTTCCGCTGCATGTGGCACGGCACGGCAGGATACAGACGCAACGCTTCATTGATCACCCCGTTCAGATGCTCGAGATGCTGGATCTTGACGTGCTGGAAGTCTCCATCCGGTTCGATGTGCGGCGCCAGCTCGCTGCGCAGTTTAGAAATCTCCGCAGGGTTCCTCAGCAGCTCGTACATCATCGTCGCCAAAGTAGTGGCACTGGTATCGCTGCCCGCTGTTATGATTAGACGCGAGTCGCCTCCTAGTAGCTGCTGGTCTTCCTTGGTGGGCTCACGGCCATCGAGATGGGAGATGAGCGCAGCGCTGATGTCGGGAATCGAAGGGGGATTCTTCAAATGATGGTTGGTCAGGTGGGCTCAATTCAACATACATACTCCTCAAAGTTCTCAAAGAAAAGGTCAAACAATACCTCGATCCGTCGATTTAATCTCTCCGTGGCCCAATCTAGATAGAGATGCCAGTTTTTCGATGCCCCGGGGATACGAGTAAAAAGGCACAACATCCACACCGGCAGAAACAACCCCACGAAATCTATCATGGCGCCCATATTCTGAATAGAACCAATGAGTTCACCTCTTTCGATGCCACCAAAGCCCTCCCCGAATGCCATATCCCCCATTATATCGAATGTGTAGAGGTTGAACCATTTCCGAAGCTCAAGAGGCTCGTCGGCCATACCGGTTAACCGATCCAGCAGTCGTTGTCGGTAGGGGCGCATGCGCACCTCATATCCACGGAGTTGGCTATCGCCGAATGCAGGGCTCCAGGCGCGTCGTCGTTTACGATGCTCTGCCGGATCACGCATTGACTGGAGAGACTTCGAGGGATGGTCCAGGTCGTAAAAAGCGGCCTTGGTGCAGCGAGTATTGGGGCCGTAGATGGTGGCAATCCCACTCGAATGGACGATAGAGAGAGTGGACGGACCGATGCGCACGATAGGACCGTATACTTTGTGGAGGACAGAAACCTTGCGATGGGCGTCACGTTTTAGAACCTTTGTCGAAAACCAGAGAGGTGAGATGCGTGCGGCGATGGGACCGGGAAAGTGTCGAAGAGGATGGTGAAAGAGGCGATATAGGATAAGGCTCGCGTAGAGGCCCACGAAGAAGTAAGTCGTGTGCTGTAGTGTGATGGCGAGAGATGTGCTCCATGGCTGGTATTGCTGGTATTGTAGGAAGGCAACTCCGGATGCGATGGCAACAAAAAAGGCTTGCAGGTAGTCCATGCCATACAGATGGTGCTCGCCTTTGTTGAAATAGGCGATGTGTGATGCTGCGCCTGCCACGAGACAAAAGACTATAGAGGACAACATCATGCTAGGTATGGGTGGGTGACCTCATCTTCTCAGGAGGGTCTGAACTAGATTAAATCGGTTTCATTTACAGTGAGTGGTCACATCCTATTCGAGTCCGTGTGAAACATTCCTCGTGGTGACTAGGTTGCTCGATGGAATTCTGCTGACTCGAGATGCATTCGTATCGGTCAGACTCCACAATGCGACTGGAAGAACCGAGGTCACGCATTACATACATATGTGGGTGAGCCGAAGAGGAAGCAGGATTAGTGATGGGAGAGAGAGTGTGCTTTTCTATGTTCATCACGCTGTATGTATAGTCTGATATGCCTATACTTCTTGTAATTGGATTGATTCACATCGAGAGTCTCCCATCCGGTGATACATGTTTATCCAGCAACGCATTCCACGCAAGCCTTTGCAGCCCCTTAGCTATTTTACCCGTTCTTCTTTATCTACAAAGCATCGATGATAGCGTTGTACGCGTCCTTGGGCTGATAGTTACTGTCAAACAACAAGGGGGCGCTGTCAGAGCGCCACGAGTCCTGATTCCAATTAGCTGAAATCTCAACACGAACGTTCCTCGCGTGCTTACCTTGTCCGAAACACCCCAGACGGTGACACCAACGCAGGCCTCCAGGTCCAAGCAGGCATTTACGACCTAGTTCGTTAGCCATGGCTTCGTGTCATGCAAGAGAGACTCACATTCAAGTAATCCTCCGAGCTTGCGCCAGCAATGTCGAGTTCCGTCACGGCAATCTCGGAAACACCGGTGCCCGCGAGTGCGCTAAGAGCTGTGTTTGAAATTAATTTAATTTCCGCTTGCTTGGGACGGGAGACTTATCCTGAGACACCGGAAGAGGGGAATGCGCCATCGCTTGATAGAGTTAGTATCTTTTATGTACCTACAGCCCGGGCCTCAGCCTACCTGATATGGGTTTGCGATCCTGCCTGCAGTCAGTACTTCACTCAGCTAATAAAGTCTGTCTTTATGGACTCACCAATTCCATCAATGGGAATGCCTGCATCCAACCACTTCTTCACGAAGCTCACCATACCCTTGGTCTTGGCATAATCGGCCGAGTCCAAGCTACTCTAGTTAGTCCGTCATTTATTGGAGCCTGTCTGAGAATATCTTACTTGTAATCGTTGATGTACAACTTGGCATCTGGGTCCGCCTCACGAGCAGTCTCAAAGGCAATTCGAACAAAGTCCTCGCCAAGGACGCTGGAGAAGACGCTGTCTCGGAGGGTGCCGTCCTCGTCTAGGATCTCGTTGACCACATCCTGGATATGTTAGACTTTGTGTCGTATTTTGCGGTTGGTTTGACATACCCAGGCATAGACCTTTCCCTTGTATTGGCCCATCACCTTGTTGATGTGGTTCTTGATAACGTCGGTCAGGGTATCCTTGTCGGAAATGCTCGACACCCACGAGGGAAGCTGCGAGTGCCAGACTGCGGCTGTTAGAGCGAATCGTGCCATAAATTACCCGTGGAAGAGCATACCGAGAGTATGGCCGCGCACAAGCTTATCGTTGCTCTGGGCATAGTCGACCTAATGTTATAATCTTGTTAGCATCTTTCCCTCACCTATTTACATAGAAGAGTGGAATCCACAAACCAACGCATCTGCTCCATCCAAAGTGAAGCTTCCCTCAGTCGCTAAAAGAATTAGCCAAATAACCTTTCTGTGATTGAAGATAAAGGAGAACTCACGTTCAGTAGAATCCCACTTCATGCTGTTCTCTGGGGTCAATTGGCCAAAATCCGCCGCGACGATTGCCTCATTCTGGCTGTTCTGCAACAAGGCCTGGTCGGAAGCCGTGCCGAAGTATTTCTTCCCATGCGAAGTGAAGGCTTCGTTAATGCTGGACGATGCCTGTCGAGTAATGACTCTGGCCGAGGCAACTGAAGCCAGGAGGGTGATAGTACTGGCGAGATTCTTAATATACACCATGTTGATCGAGTCGGAGGATGTCTTTTTTAAGAAAGATGGAAATAAGTTGAATTGATTTGACCTGCGGGCTAGATTGACCTCCTCCAGCGTTTGACTACCTTTTAAATGATTCAATTTCAACGTTTCAAACAGCAGAGCTAGGGCAAGTTAACCATCTTTAGGCTAATCTGCTTCCTTTCCCAATCGGGCGCGGAACTAAGGCATTCCAAACCAGCGCCGTTTCAGCCAAGATGTGCTCTTCTACCTACACAAAAGTGACGATCGACAACCTTACTTGCCTTTTCAATTCAAAATTGTCTTTCCAAATATCCCCGCTTCACGGACAACGCACCGTCGGCTGAACGGTAGTGTGATATTTGTCACTAGCCAGGGACTTCTGCAGGAGTTCAATCTCCAACAGCCCCGTGGATAAAAGGGTAAACGGATGCCCCCTGAGCTCTAGAACCAAGCGTACCTTGAGAAAGAGGAAAGGACCTGTATTGGTTGATATCATCCGATCGATTCGGTTCTTCATCCGGGACTTTAGGTATCAGCCGGAGTGGAAAAAATGAAAAACTCACTCTCACCCAGCGATCATCCGGGACTTCAGATAGAATGCTTCCACAGCGTCTGCCCAGCGGTGCGGAGTACCACCGACTCTGTGTCTGTAGTTGTTCACTCTAGAAGACCTACCATGACCGTGGCTGTGAAGCGTAAATTCAGCATCCCCTCCTCCATCTGGGATAGAGCATCCCTGGCAAATGGAGATCGGCAGTTCAGATGCGGAATTGGGAAGATGCCCTTGAATTGTCAGCCATTAGAAACCGCGATGATCGGACCCGTGACATCATTAATGTGGAGATCAAAAGGAGGCACTCTCCACTTTCCGCCGTTGAGGGCTGGCTCACGATTCTCGTTTTGCTTTTTGGGGGCCAGAAGGAGGCATCAATGAAATGATGAAACGGCCCCTCTTCTGCCGCTGATAGAGCAATGGCCTTGGCTCCAATCTGCAGGAATCATTCCATATGTTTGACAGATCAGCTCTCTCACTACTGCGGTAATCAATTGCCGTGTGAAGGTTTGTTCAAGGTGATCGATCGCCACGACCACGTGATGCCAGCGGCCTCAACAGGAAGTCAGACCAAACGAAATGTGTAAATGGCAGTAGAGTCTTAGTGCTCTATCTTTCATATGTATTATGACAGCGACATGGCTGTATCGCCTACTCAATCGGGAGTGAAATGCTTGAATTCTCTATGGAAAGGGGTTGGGCACTATTGCCAAGCCGCCATGTAGGGAAGGCGGACTGAGGCGGCAGTATCGCCAACATATTATGTTCCATCTGTGATAATTGGCTGTGTTGTATCAGTGGCTTGATCCACTGTTTGATCATGGCAGATGCAGGCTTGCTGGGCGCCTAGGCTGACCTAGTATTAGACTGAGATGGAAATAGAATCAGTAGTCAGAACGCACCGTTCGATAACGTAAACCACAACCGAGCCGCGGATCTAAACGAGCCGCGGATCCTTTGCCGTAGCCACCACTACTTGAAGCTATTTAACCACTAACACCATTAAATTCGATTAATTAAATATATAAAAATTTAGCTACTTATTTGTACAACTCCGAATTGTATGTCCAACTGTCCCACAGCCGCTACAGCGGGGCGGAGCCCGTTGGCGAGGTGTAGGAGTAGATTGCTCAGGTTGCTCATTAAGCTGCATATCAAGCTGCTGAACGCGATTATCACCTTCCTGTACATTAAGGAGGCAGTCATTACCTAGTGCAGCACGCTTCCTTGCTTTCTTTTTATATTTTCGCTCATTTTCAGCTCGTACAGTCATAATTTCTTGCTCTAAAAGCAGCTTAGTCTGCATTGCCATTTGTGCAGCCTTTTCAAGATGTTGAAGATGCTTAACAGGGCTGCTAGAAAGCTGCCGTTTCTTATTGAGGCTCCTTTGTAAGCTTTTGACCTTTCGATCTAACTGGCGAGTATTTTTGTGGAGTTTGAAAAGCAGAGGAAACTGATCCTTCAACTAGTGATGGTGCAGGTGTAGTAGGCGTATGTAGTCGAAAAGTAAGTTTAGAAAGAACACGCTCTTGATCAAATGGCTTAAGCCCTGCTCCTGCGAAGCCACTGCAGATATTTGTAGAAGTAAAGACTTGAGCCCGTACGTCTGGATATAGTGATAAAAAGTCCTCTTTGTCAATATGGTTGTTACCCGCAGCCATACGCCCTTCAAGCAGCTTTCCGTATGCGCGTTTAAGCGGGCCAAAAACACCCACATCAAGCGGTTGAAGAAGGTGTGAAGCGTGGGCAGGCATACAAAGACATATTATTGCATTTTATTTGCAAAAATCATCGAATTCAGCAGTCAAATGACTACTATGGCCGTCCAAAATAAGTAGGCGTTTTGCACCGGTCATATAGCGCTTGGAGGAAGGTTCAAAGACATTCTTTAGCCAAAGAAGACCTATTTCATCGGTAGTCCAGCCATTTTCACTTGTTGCAATCCACCAGTCTTTAGCAAGCTTAGGTTCTTGGAACCAAGCAGCTTGTTGTTGGCCCCCTTTCAGTATAATAATCGGTGGTAAAGATACGCCTTTTGAGCTGATTGTTTCGATAATTGTAACCCATTCACGATTACCCTGGATAACTCTGCGTGGCCGCTCGCTTCGTTCAACTGCAGTAATTACTTTTGAAGTAGTGCAGAGTCCCATTGCAAAGCCAGTCTCATCAAAATTCCAGATATCATCTTCGTGTATACCGTGTTCTTGGATAGCCTTGTGGACAGTTTGAAACCATGGTATTATAACCCTTGGATCCTCTTGTTTTGCACGTTGATATGTGATCCGTCCATTGTATCGTGTATGTAGTTGAGGATGACGTTTGGTAAAATTATATGGCCAGTTAGATCCAATAATTGCTGCATGGTTTCGGAGGCGCGCGCGAAGTAGTATTCCTGCCATTTCGCGTAGAAATTCGGGCCGCATTGGGAATCCTCGCATATCTGCATCTAGTAATTGCTTAAGAAGCGTTTCTTCTTCAAGTTGAGTAAGTTTATGACTATTGGCGCGTGTTTCTGATCGTGGTGTTGCACCGTTGAGTCGATCGCGTAGGGTACTTTCAGGGATCGCAAAAACCTGCGCAGCGCGTAATATCGATTTGATTTGACCTTTCCGATAAGCTGAAATAGCCATTTGAATACGTGATTCTTTAGAAGGAGGCATATTGTATTTAGTGTTGAAGATATGACGTGTTGAATAAAGGGGGTGGAATTTTGATTGAAAATCCGCGGCTCGGTTGTGGTTTACGTTACGAGTCTTCGCTTTCTAATTTCAGAAGGATAAGTCCAAGGCACTTTAAGGGTCCCTGGATTGGTTGCGATCTTATCTATGAATTGACTCCACTGCATCCTTCATTGTATCCAGAATCAATGTGATTTTAATTAGGCTTTGGTGGAAGAAACTGGAACTTGACACTCTTAGGAATGAGTCTGATCAGAGGACGGTCGAGGTTCTGAGAGCATATGTAGTTGGACGGCTTTGGCGGAGTCAATATCCAGATTCATCTTCATTACTTTCATTGCAGTATGACTTCCCTAGCTAGCCTAGGCTCCCGGCGAGCGTTTGGACAAAAAATCGTGAACAAAAAAGGATGCATCATCCGTGAATCGAACACGGGCCTCGTCGATGGCAACGACGAATTCTACCACTAGACCAATGATGCTACTTCATGTCTGTAAAACAGAAATAGAGCTATATGAGGCCTTCAAACATTGACTGCTCAATATCCAGCCAGGATGGAAGGGGGTTGGAATGTGTCGCCGCGTATATACACTAGAAAAGCCCTTACTACTAAGGGTTGACCCTTTTTAGTGTAGCGGTATTTTTCTGCCACAGAATGATGATGTACAAAAGGAATACAAATACAATGTCCGAGTACGGCAATCAGTCGCAAGCTGAATATCGGAACCCCTTCAAGAATATGTACGCAGTAGGAACGTTTAAAAGGTAAGGAAGATTCAAATAAATTGGAAAAAAAAAATGCTATAATACATGACAAATTAGGCATATTAAGCAGAGTACCGAAAGTTCAAAAAGGATATCAACGCATGAGGAAATGAACAAAAATCACGGAAGCAAAAAAAAAGATATTAGCCTCCATCATTTTGAGCAATCCTTAAGTTCCACCAGTTTATTTCTTCTTTCCGGTGAGGCCAATCGCATCAGTCAAAGAGGTCAACCCGAGACCGCTCAGCAGTTTATCAAGACCCAGTCCGCCCAGCAAACCATGAACCAAGGGGCCCAGACCCAGACCGTCTAGGAGACGACCGACCAGACCCAAGACACCGGTCAAGAGCAGACCGACGGCAGCGATGATCTGGAACAAGGGCTCGCTGAGCAGCGCCCACAACGGGTTCAATTCCTTCTTGGCATGAGGCATATCCGCGATCAGACGCTTGCCCTTCTCGATCGTGCTCACCACCGTGTCGGTCAGTTCCTTGATCTGATCGGCCAAGGCGTATTCTTCAGGGGAGGCCTCATGGGACGCAGCGCGAGCCTTGGCGGTGGCAGCGATATGGCCGTCCGGGTCGAGTGCGCGGATCGCACCGTTGGACTCCTGCAGGATGGCACCGGCCTCTTCGAGAAGGGGCTTCACGTTCTTGACGAGCTCTTCCTCGTCGAGCTCATCCTTTGGTGTGCGGTCCGCCTTGTCGATGTGGTCTAAGATCATCTTGCAGATGGGACGCACGCGGTCCAGAGTCTGGCCGACGATGGCGCTCATCTTCTTCGCGAGCTCGCGATCTCTCTGCGCCTCGAGCTCTTCCTTCGTGGGCTCGGGCTCCTCTTCCGGCTCGGGTTCGGGTTCGGGCTCCTCAGGCTCAGGGATGTTCTCAATGAGCGTGCATTCGCCGAGCTTGTTGCCATCGTTGTCAACAACGAACCCGTTGTCGTCGACCTCCTTGCCCACCAGCGTGGGGAGGTTGCCGGCCGTCAGCTTGCCGATGAGGTTGCCATCAGCGTCGCGCACCTCGCCCTCGCGGGTCACCTTACGGCCAGACATCGGGTTCACGGTGCGCTTCTTCTCCTCGGGTTCCCAGCGCTCGGCGCGGCCGAGGCTGTTGCCGTTCTTGTCGAGGATCTCGCCATCTTCGTCGACCTTGCGGCCCTCCAGCTTTTTGGCGTCGCCTTCGATCACGCGACCGATGATGCGGCCCGTTCCGTCGACCACGACGCCGTCCTTGCCGACGACGGCGTTCTCAATGCCAAAGAAGGATCCTTCTGGCTTCTCCTCTTCGGCTCCGGGGATGAGCTCGGCACGGCCGATCACCTCGCCGTTGTCGCCCCAGATCTGGCCGAAGCGGTCGACCTTGCGGCCGGCCAGACGTTTGTCGCCTTCAACGAGACGACCGAAGACCGTTCCGGAGCCATCGACCACATTGCCGAACTTGTTAACCACCTTGCCTTCGAGGATGGAGAGGTCGGCCTCCGGCTGCGCCTCCTCTTCGGGAGGGGAGTAGGGCTCGGCGTGGCCCTTGACGCTGCCGAACTTGTCGATCACGTCGCCGTCCTCGTCGACGGAGCGACCGCGCAGCTGCTTGATATCGCCTTCGGTGATCTGACCGACCTGGTTGCCGTTCTCATCGACCACGAAGCCCTCGTCGTTGACGACCAGACCTTCCAGTCCCGCGAACGGTCCCTCGGCCTTTTTCTCACGCTCCTCTTCGGGAATGAGCTCGACGCGACCGACAGGCTTGCGACCATCATAGATGACGCCGTCGTCGATTTCCTTGCCGGCGAGTTCCTTAGGATTACCCTCGACCACACGACCGATGGGAACGCCCTTAGGTCCAATGACGAGACCCAGCTTGTTGGGCGAGAGGCCGTTCAAGCTGGACAGATCGATCACCTCAGGCTCAGCCTCGGGCTCCGCCTCTGGTTCCTCGAAGTAGTCGGCCTTGGCGATGACATTACCATGGCTATCAGTAACCTCACCATCCTGGTCAACGGCGCGACCGAGGATTTTCTTCGCGTCGCCCTCGACAATCTTGCCGACACGCTTGCCCTTGTCGTCCTCCACGAATCCGTCCTCAACGACATGCAGACCCTCCAGGCCGGCGAATTTCGCCTCTTCCTCGTACTCCTGTGTGGGGAGCGTCTCGGCTCTACCGATGACGTTGCCGCGGCTGTCCCAGAACTGGCCCTTTGCGTCCAGCTGGTTGCCGCCGCGAGCGAGCTTCTTGACATCGCCTTCGACAACCTTACCGATGGGCTTGCCGGTCGACGGGCTGATGATATTGCCGGTCTTGTTGGCCGTTAGGCCCTCGAGGATGGAGAGGGGAGGGAGCTCGACTTCTTCGCCTTCTTCGCCTTCTTGCTCTTCCCTGGCGAGTTGGAAGTCGGCTGATACGTCGGTTGCGTCGTCAGGGGCTTTCGATGCGGTTTCGTCGAGTTTAGAGCCGGTCTCGTCGATCTTGGATCCAGCTTCGTCGGCCTTGGAGCCAGTTTCGTCGATCTTGGATCCAGTCTCGTCCTCGAGTTTGGATCCGGTCTCATCAATCTTAGATCCAGTCTCATCAATTTTCGAGCCGGTCTCGTCAATCTTAGAGCCAGCCTCATCAGCCTTGGAGCCAGTCTCGTCCTCGAGTTTGGATCCGGTCTCATCAATTTTCGAGCCGGTCTCATCAGCCTTGGAGCCAGTCTCGTCCTCGAGTTTGGATCCGGTCTCATCAATTTTCGAGCCGGTCTCATCGATTTTCGAGCCGGTCTCATCGATTTTCGAGCTGGTCTCGTCAATCTTAGAGCCAGCCTCGTCAGCCTTGGAGCCAGTCTCATCGATCTTAGAGCTGGTGTCAGCCTTCGAGGTCGCATCATCGGCCTTGGACGTGGCATCGTCAGCCTTCGACTTGTTCTCGTCCACAGACAAGTTCTGGACACTCTCAGCGGCCTCATCAACACCGCTCTTCGCGCGAGCAGTGCCCGAATCAGCAGCACTGTCCATAGCAGAGCCTTCTGCCTTGCCCTCCGAAGGCGCAGCCCCGTCCGCGACGCTGCCCGCATCCTGAGCAACGCTCGCGACGTCATCGGCAGTCTGCTTCGCAACGACATCGACCCTGCCCACCAGATCACCATCCTGGTCCAAGATCTTGCCCTCCTCATCAGCAGTATACCCAACCAGATCCTGGGCCTCGCCCTCGACCACCTTCCCAATAATCGTCCCATCATCATCCTTCAACAACCCCTCATCATTAATCGCTTTGCCCGCCAACGCCGACAAATCCGTCACAGCGACGGCCTCCTCCACGGCGCCTGCGACCTTCTGCGCCGCCTCAGGAATGATCTCCGCCCTTCCAATCAAATCTCCATCCTGGTCCAGGATCTCCCCGTTCTCATTAACCACATACCCAACGAGATCAGCAGGATCGCCTTCCACGATCCGTCCGAGCACATTCCCAGCGGAATCAGCGATGCCACCTTCCTGACCGACCTCGAGGCCCTTCAAAGCAGACAGATCCAGCGTCTGCTGCACCGTCTCTCCAACCTGGCCGACCGTATCGCCAACGACGCCACCGGCCTGGCTGCTCGACGACCCGCCCTGATCACCATCTCCTCCGAGCCGACTCACGCCGGAGACCGCGCTCTTCAACCCGCCCGCGATCCCGCCCGCAATGCTCGACATCTTGCCGCCCAGGCCGCCGACGGAGCCAGAGGCTTGGGACTGCGCGTCCTCGGGGACAGGGGCGGGGGACGCGGCGCTGAGATCGCGCTGCTCCTGCTCGCCGCCGAGCTGCGAGGCGGACTGGGACTGCGAGCGGTGCGGGGACGGGGTGGATGGGGGCTCGGGGTCCTTGAGGGGGGCGGATTCGGGGACGTTGAGCTTGCGGGGGGTTCGTTTGGGGGAGGGGCTGAAGCCGGAGCCGAGGTTGCGGGCGGTTCCGGAGGACATGGTTGTTTTGGACGTCGAGGGGGTTCTTAGATGTTGGTTGTAGGCTGGAGGTGGTGTTGCTGTTGCTGTTGTTGTGGAGGGTGTTTGGGTGGAGGATGACTTTGTGGTTTGGGGCGTTCGGGTGGATGGTGGTTGTGGTGAGGGAGTCTGGGGCTGGGATGAGGGAGATGGAGGAGGACGCAAGTGTTGGTGGATGTGCAGGTGACGGTGTTGTTGTTGGTGGTGGACGTAGTAGTTGTAGTAGAGGTTGGAGTAGTGTTCGTTAATCTTGACAGTCGTGGACGAAGCCGTTAGATATGATACAGCAGAGTAGGTAGGGTATAATATCGTATAGTAGGTATAGTACAAAAAGACTAGGCTCCGTATAAAGGAGCAAAAGGGATATAGGAGAAGATAGCGTGAGAAAAGCGTATATTAATCGATCGATAATTGAATACAAGAGACAAAAGAAGAAGAAGAAACAGAAAGCACACCCCGAACCCTCACCATCCTTATATCTCCCCTCCAGCCTGCAAAGCAAGATGCACGCCAAACTACGTCATGGTCAACCCTCCTTCAGACGCAGGCCGCGACATCGACGGCCAATGGACATTGAGTCTCGATCGCAGCGTCGCGTAATACAGGCACGTCATAAGGTACTTCTCAGCTCCCACCATCGCTCGATCCGGGGAACCGACCTCGTACTCCAACTGCCCGGCACCCTGTCTTTGGGGGGAACGGGCTACTTCAGGCGGTGACTGGTCGGTAGGGTCCTTGAGGCCATATCCACTCGGGCGAACCGTGCAGCTGGAGGGTATCGTGACGAAGGGGTCTAGATTTTGGGACTTTGAGAGAGGAAGGGATGAGCATCCTGCCCTGTCTACCCAGTCCCTACAGGGTACTCGGCTCCGTTTACATTGCTGGACAGGAGGACTCGAGGATCGAGTCCTCTGGTGCCTGTTGGGCTCCACGCATCCAGGAACTGGGATGCTGGAGAGGTGAACTAGGATGGAGACGGTAGGGCTGTCAGCGTGGTCATTATTGCGTCAGGCGTCGCATGGTCGGGGTTAATTGACCATTCTGGGGGTATTAGGGTTCGGTTTTAGATTAATTTATATTAAATTCTGGAGACTCTGGCAGGTTTGGGGCGATGTCATTGGTTGGTTGGGGAGTATGTTGCGGTTAATATTGCATCTTGTTGATATAAGGATGTTATTATTCTTATTATTATAATAATCATTAGCATGCAGACAGATGCAAAGCGCTGGACTCAATACACTCAGTACATCAGTTCATTTGACACAACTGACTGAATGAAAGAAATGCTAAGCACGAGACTGTCAGTGTACCCCCCTAAACAAGTATCAAAACTAAACTAATCTAATTGACACTCTCGTCCCCACCCAAGTGGACCAACAATCCGGATTCTCGATCGATCGCAACGCCGAATGAGATCATCGCGGCCACCCGCCAACCGGAGAATAGACGAGTAACACGACGGTCGACTAGCCCCGACATCTCCCCACCCCGTTGTACATATCGTGTGTGTTGATATCATGTCGATCAGTTTGCCTCTCAGTCTTAATAGAAGCTGGGTTGTTGACACCACCACTGGCAGAAAGTCTCGGTCCATGACGTCGGTGGGGACCTAGGCCGCGTGGAAAGTCGACGGTCAATCCGTGGCTGCCATGGGTGGCTTGATCGAGTTTAACAACTGTTATTGGTGATGCGATCACAGTATGAAGTCATAGTCAGGAACTGGATGGGAGGGACCATACAGTGACAGACTGTGGATGGGACCTTTGTGGTGTATTCCATGGTACGCCTCCAAAGTACGGTGGTGGGTGCTAAGTATAGATGGGGCTGGTCTATGCGTCTGTCAGATTCTTAACGGTCGGAGGTTTTTTTTTTGTTTGCTTGCTAGTTGGTCTAACTAGTAAGAAATAAACTCACATTAAGTATTTCTAGATAGTGCATGCTACTGAATTCTTTTCCGGCTCGTTGTCTCTCCGTGTTTCTATTCTTTTTAATTTAATCTGGTAGTATTTCTAGACTCTTATTGATATATTGGTATTTCCCTGCCTCCTTAACCCCAAAAGTAGACCAGATAAAACTTCCCGTAACCACTTCCAAAATAGTTTTCCACGTACTCCAACACCTTCAACCAGGAACAACCACCAGTCAACAGTCCCATCTGCCAGTGCCTGGTTGATTGACAGACTCATCTCCACCCCGTACCTGACAGATGCAAAATCCGGTCTCGTTCCTGGAACCTCGTTAGGTGAGCCATGGATGCGTTCAACGGTGGTGGATCCCGTCAAAAGTTCGCGACTGGGCGCGCTCGGCGTCTAGAAGATGCCGGCCGGTAGAGATGACCCTGGCTTACTGTGTCCTCCGGAGTAGTTATATCACTCTGACAGATGGTTCGGGGATGGAAACTTGTTTCTGGCCGGTTTTGTGTCTTGCGGTTGGTGTTTGCTGGGGTTTGTCCAGGCTGTTCCTGGTTTTGGTCCGGGTAAGGGGGTTCCTGGTCGGTTCTGGCTGGAGGAACTGGGGGGCTATCCCTGTTGATCAATTACATGAGTTTCTGAGACTGTAGGGCAATGATCATGATGGTCAATTGGTACAGCCCCTATTTGTTCTCCAATGAAGCTAGGTATCCTTTGTCTTGGCATCTGGATGCTCAGGGGATCGCTGTGCGTGCAGTAATCAGCAATATTGAGAACAATCAACTTTTGAGTTTCTGGTCAATTGCATCTTTTATGGAGTTATTCGATCGTATTTGAATTAGAATTGTAAATCATCTCGGGGCATGTAATCTCAATGTATCGTAGAGAATTGTATCAATAATGATCCATTGACATATTTTGCCGCTTTGGTTGAAAAGATGGATCTGAAGTACTACAAAGTCGCCGGTTTTATAGACCGCACTGAAAACGATGAACTGGAGCACGGAAAGATTGAAGGGGGTAAAAAAAAAAAAAAGAAAAGAAAAGAAAATCGAAATAGTGAAACAGACAGGGGAAAAGAGCATGGAAACTCGCCAACCATGCGACCATTCTCTTTTGTAGGCTTTTGAGTGCCTGAGGCAAGCTGCCAATATCTTTGGTCACCTCCGACACCGACGCCGACTCCGACTCCGCCCCGACCGAGGCATTCCGTTTGCTTCTCCTTCCCGGCCATTCGAGGTGGCACAATGGCAAGCTTCCAAAATGACAGGCAAAAGGCCCTCAGAGACACGAAAACGCTCCTGCCGTCGATGCGTCGAGCTGAAAGTGAAATGCTCACCCAGTCAGGACGATGAGCGATGCCATCGTTGCTCCCGGCTAGGCCATGAATGCACCTTTCCGGAGAGGCCGACGCGTCGCAGACCAACGTTCGCTCCTAATTTCCATTGCATGCTAATCGGAAGCTAACCAGTTCTTCAGGAAGAGCCGCATTGATAGATTGCAAGAGCGGGTTGACGAGCTACTCGCCCAGGTGGGACGTCTGATCTCATGCACCGCCCTAATGTCTGACTTTGGTATAGAATGGCGCAGGATGTACAAGAGCAACCTCAACCGCTACGTCAGGAGTATCTGGCACAATAAATTTAGATAATATTAATGATTCAATCGCCGGCGGCCTCATTACAATCGATCGGGCCGATACCCTCCTGGAGAAATTTCGCTCGTTCAGAATGCCCCAGTTCCCATTCGTCGTGGTCCCGGCTACAACGCGTGCATCTCAACTCCATGCACAGAGCCCATTTCTTCTTCTGACCATCATTGCTGCTTGCTTGGAAGATGATTTATCACTGCAGAAGGGCCTCGACCACGAGATCAAGCGGCAAATCAGCATTCGTATCATCATTAATAACGAGCGCAGCATGGATCTTCTCTTAGGTCTCTTGGTGCATACAGCGTGGTATCACTACAGATTTAAGACGATCCACACCCTGATGTATCTGTCTTTAGAACTTGCTATCACACTCGTGGCTGATCTAGGTCTCGATCAGAATAGTGGCTTGACCATGAGAGGTATTACTGCTGGGTTGAAGGGAAAGGGTAGCGAAACGAGAAACCCTCAGTCCAGTACCGAGAAGCGGGCGCTTTTGGGGGTGTTTCATTTAACCTCGGTGTGAGTAAGAGCATTGATCTCTGCAGCTTTAACTAATTTTATTATAGACTGTCTTTGTTTCGTCCACAGCTGTTGATGAGATACACGGATTGGATCAACCAGTGCTGCGCGGATCTCTCTGAGAATCCAGAGTATCCGACTGATAGGCTTCTGAGGACTTATCTCGATGGCTCAGCACCAATTATAAAGAATGATTCGATCTTTGGCTCTAATGCAAACGAGATAGACTGGAATGCAGTTGAACACCAGCAAGATAAATTAAAGAAGGGAAACACTGGGCCGCATGATATGATCATTGATAACTGTATGTCGTGCTACCAAAGTGCCCACTCTTACTCACATGCGATAGGGGCGTACTACTTTGAAGTAAAAGCAAAACCAATCCTTCTTCTTGGGGAAATCCTGCACCACCAGAGCAGCACATTTACCATCGACCAAATGAGCAAACTCGACGACCTAATACACTCAACTGAAGACTTTATTGCGTCGTTCCCTAGAATCCCCGCCGATCGCATTGTCCACCTACCCCTTCCGTTCCATACATACATGTGGTACGCCCTGCTGATACTGTCCAAAACCCTCCTACTTTCCAACATGGATCACCCGAAAACACTCAATCTTGAAGCAAGTATCTGCGGAAACATAGTGGCGACCCTGAACCGAATGGAAGCCCTCTCGACCGGACAAGATATATGGGCGAACAGCCGTAATGTCGTGGGAAGCATGCTGTCCTGGCTGAAGGATCATATGCGACAAAAGACTACTGACGCGCAACCGGCTCGTGGGCTTGCAGATAGTAGTTCAGGGCAGCTCGGACATTGTCCGGCATCGACTCATAGCATTGGGGAGCTGCAACTTGATGATATCCCGGAGGAAGCGTACTGGAATGCCGATTGGTGGCAGCAAATGGTGGAGGGGCCTCTGTTTTATCCAGCCGTGGGCTCACCGTCGTGGCTTCTACCGGCAACACTGTAGAAGAATACAACTGTGTTATCGGCAAATAGACTAGTCCCAACCAGGCAGTAGTCATCACATGGTTAAGACCGCTGACCGCCTGCCGCAGTTGGCCGGAGCAGTCCACAATTTCTCCGCAGCAACAAGCAAGTCAACCAACACCATCAACTTCCCCAGATGCAGTGACCCGCCAACACCAGCTAGTCAGCTCGCTAGTTCGCTCTGTCTATCCAGGATACGGAGCATGTCTTGTGGCAATGTCATCCTATGATAGGGGCTTGCTGCAGAGGCTCCCCGTCCGGATAGGCCTAAACGATAGTATCCACCACCCCCGCTGGGATGCTCTCACCCACCAAGTTGGCCGGTTCCGCCCCTTCACCCTAAGCTACCTTCTCTCGTTTCCCAATGAACTTATCCTCGAAGTAGCGGACCATCTGGACCTGCCGGATCTCGCCAGATTGTCTCGTGTCAATCGTCATCTTCGCGAACTGCTCTTGCCAAGAGTCTTTCGAATCGGTAAGTCTTTTGCCGTGAGGTCCTTGTTCTCTTTTCTTTCAGCTCCGCTGGTTAGTTACTGATCGGCGCAGGGAGTCGCGAATCCCGTCGTCACAAGAAAACCGTCTGCTTCACATGGCTACACTATGCTGCCTTCACGTGCAATATCCCCCTGGCGCAACGGCTGATGGCCGAGGGGTCGGATCCATATCGAGTCGGTCGCAAACGGTGTTGGTCGCCGCTGTACGTCGCGGTCCTGAATGGATATGCCGAAATGGCGGAGGTGCTGGGACTGAACAAGGCTGACACGAAACAAACCTTCCTGAATGCCGACGTGACACTGCTGCATGCCGCCGTCGAAAGCCGGAACGAATATCTCATAATGCGGTGTCTCCAGATCGGTCTTCCACTCGACGTACAGGACGTCAGGGGGGATACTCCGCTTCACCATGCGGCCGCGAATGGCGATGTCGATGTCGTACGTTTTCTCTGTCGACTGGGCGCCTGTATTCACGTCCGGAACTTCTCCGGCGCGACCCCGATGCATCGCGCTGCCTCGGCCCGGATCTCCAGACGCAGGCCCGATACTCGAGTACGCACGATCGTTTTCCTTTATCAACACGGTGCGGTGGTGGACGTGCGGAACATCCAAGGCCAGACCCCGAGCATGTTCGCCACTGCGCGTGGCCACCTCGACTTGCTGAAGCAGCTTTTTCTGTTAGGAGCGCGCGCGGACGTTCAGGATAACGGTGGTCGAACGCTTCTCCACGAGGCCGTCGTATCCGGGGAGATCAGCAGTCGGAACCTTCGCATGAAAATCATGACCTATCTGTGCTCGCGCGGGTCGAAAGTTGACGCTCCCAACTCTTTGGGCGACACCCCCCTTCACTTTGCGGCCATCAGGGGCTTCCCGGAAGCGATCCGACGACTGGTGGAACTTGGCGCACGACGCGATAGCCAGAACGCTTTAGGACAGACACCGCTTCATGCTGCGCTAGCGGGGGACCCGGCCGTTATCCGCTTGCTGGTGGCGTTAGGTGTGGACATCAACGCAGCTGATTTCGACGGGATGACCCCTCTTCACCAGGCGATGTTTGAAGATTCCGAGGCAGCGGCGCTGGAACTGATACGACTGGGGGCGAACGTGCATCTTTGCAATGCGGATGGGGTGAGTCCGTGGGACATCGCGGTCTATGAAGAGCTGGAAATAATAATTGCGATGTGTAAAAGCATGGAGTGAGGGGCTGGTTCTTTGTTCATACTAAATACCCACTTGATTTGTCGTTAATTTGAGGTTATTCACTACAAGGAAGATCCCGTTAATATTGAGCAGGTTTAGCTAGCTATCAAACAGGATGCTTCCACCATCTACCCTGTTTATTTCCTTTTTTTTTTCTGGTTTACATATAGCGAGTGCCCGCATCCTTACCTTCCTATCCATCTACCTTCTCCATCCACATCATCGCGTTCAACATGAATTACGTAGCCGACCCTATCCCCGCCGACCTCCTCCCCATCCCTCCCATCTCGTCTGGGACCTCTCTTCCTGAACCCATCGACAAACCGATCAAAATCCTCATGATCCACGGTAATCCACCCCCCCCCCCCCCCCCCCCTTCACACCTCCACTTCCCTCAAACTCTCCCCTTCCCCCAACTAACCCACCAAAAAACCAACCCTCTAACCAACCTCCTCCCACCTTCTAGGACATGGCTCCTCCTCCTCCCGCATCTTCTACAAATATCGCGCCCTGCAGCCCTCCATCCGCCACGAGATCCTACAAACCCTCCATCGCGACGTCGAATTCTACTTCCCCAACGCCCCGCTCCTCCCCACAGGGTTCGAGCCGGGCATGTGGACCTGGGGTCTTGGCGATTACCGCGTCGACCGGGTCCCCGGGCTGCAGGAGTCGATTAGCTACTTGGTGCGGTACATGGAAGAGCATGGCCCGTTTGATGGCATCGTGGGCAGTTCGGCGGGCGCGTCGATTGCGGTTCTGGTAGGGTCGCTTTTGGAGAGGAGGAAGTTGAGAGAAGAGGGGTGTGAGGAGGTTGGGATGGTGGTATGTGTATACCTATTGTTTCTGTTTCCCTTCCTACCTATCTATCCTTTACCTTACCTTACCTTACCTACCTACCTACCTACTTAGTTACATACATATCTACAGTATAAACAGACTGACTGAGATATAATAAAATGAAACAAAACAGACAACCCACCCCCCCTTCAAATTCATCCTCGCCTACAGCGGCTTCCAAATGAGCCACCCCTGCTACAAAACCATCTATAGACCGAAGATCCGTACCCCTGTTCTGCTTTTCATCGGCGATCTGGACACTTACATCCCCGGACCGTTGACGCTGCAGCTTGCGCGCCGGTGTGTCAATCACCGCGTCGTTTATTTCCCTGGTGTTCACTATATTCCGCGACAGAGGGTCACGACCATGGCGGCTGCGGAGTTTATTTGTGATTGTTTGGGTGAAGGGGAGGGGGTGTTTGGGAAGGGGGATGCGAGTGGGAGGCTCAGTCACGGGCAGAGTTATAGTTACAGTTACAGTCAGGGTGGGGATGAGTGGGTGGGGGATGCGGAGATGGAGGAGGAGGATGATGATGATGATGAGGATGGGGAGTGGGAGTGGGTTGGGGATAATGAGGACTGGGATGGGGATGGGGATGGGAACGAGGGTTGGGGTTTCAGGTTGTTGTGAGAGGGTTTGGTCTATGGGTCCTTTCTTCCTCTTCTTTAGGGCAGATTGGAAAGTTCGCACGGCGTTAGGATGTTAGGAGGTTCTGGGTTGATTTCTTTCGGTGTTTGGGCGAAGTGAGAGCTGGATTTACTACATGTTGCTTGCTGCTTGATTGAATGTCGGCGCTGAGGTTTACATCAGGCAATGTCTTATAGAATAAGACTCCAGCATAAAAGCATACACCCTTCGGGTCATGTTACTAAAGCTGCAAGAGCTCTACAGCTCGAAAATATTCTCCACCAGACCAGAAAGGGTATATTCAAGCATATAAAAGATTAACCTCAAGAAAGAATAGAAATACACCACTCATCGCCGATTTGGATATCAAGACACAATTAAACATTATAATCTCAACCACACAGGCACTATATGTCAGTATACAGAATCTACCCCTAAAGAATAGAGCCAAGAGCGATACAAGGCAGCGAGGCACCAACAAGCGAATCCGACTATAGTGAGATGAATATTAGCATCACGAGTCATACGAAAGTTTATTAACAAAGTGGACGTTGAATAAATGGTTAGAACTTACAGCATCAGCCCCGCTTGTCTGGCAGCAAGCCACGTTCTGCTTGCACTGCTGGTCCAGAACATCCTGAACGCCCAGAAGGAGAAGAACCGTCACTATAAAGATCCACACCGTTAGCCACATCCAATCCCCATATCCCATCTGCCAGCTGAAAACTAGAAAGGAGGGAAACATACCCTGCGCATCTAACTTCGAACACTCCGAAAACAAGCTTGCTCCTTCAGACGCAGACCCAGCGCCCAAGATACCCGACAGCTGACCACCGCCTTCATGCACGTTGGTCGTGTCGCCGCCCACGCTGGCCTTGTTGCAACACGACAGCTGGGCCTGGTCACCGCATTTCTCTTGACCCTCTTTCACGGTCATGCCCTTGGGAGCCGGGAACTTGACGAAGTCGTTGGGTTTTTGCTCGCTCATGCCCTGATCCGGGGAAGGGAGGGCCAGGGCCCCCGTGAGAAGGGTAAGGAAGGCGAGGGGGAGGGTGGTCTTCATTTTTGCTTGAGTGTTGGTTTTAGAGAGAGGAAGATGGAAGGAAAGAAGAGAGATGGAGGCTTCTTTTGCTTAGAGAGAGAGGGTGACGGGAAAGGTGAACGTTGAAAGGGAGTAGACCCAAGTTCTTGTACGCGGCGGGATTTTACCTAGTTTTGCCCTGTCTGTAGCGAGGGCTGCTTTCATCCTCGGATCGTCACCTTGATTGTGTGTGTTATACAGCATTCCAATGCCAGGGCCCGGGGCTCCTTGCATGCTTTTGACCGTTGTTGGGGAAGTAATTGGCGGGTGGGTTATCCCTGGAATGGATCGTGCATTCCGTGACGTGAGACATACGGAGTAGGATAGCTTGGGGTTGTGCTTTGGGAAACGGTTTTCGTTGATCTGTTGCTTTTATTAGTGTTGGAAGAGCTATTGCCATGACGAGGTCTGTCTCATTGGTGAATTGATGATCGTTGGAACAAGGACGTCTGGTTTGGAAGTATTACCCTGATAGTGACTGGCATTTTCTGTCGGCTTCTGGAGATAGGGCTTCATGTTCTTGTAGTCTCTGATAGCAGGAACATCGTCGCAAGCGCCTGAAGGGGATTCCCATTGTCTGTCTATCTGATTCGATTAGCGTGATGAGAAATGTTCGTTCGCAAAGCCCTAGAGTCTTGAATAATGGTATTCCGCCGGGCGGCAGAAACATGTATTTTAGATATCGTGCCATCAAACCGCCCTGTAGAACTATATATTCTAAGGTGAAATTGGTTATCTCTATGTTGCTGTATAGTGGCAATATTATGGAGTCGATTTCCCACATAAGCGCCGGCCACTGTAGCCCACCAGCCTTGCCACCAGCATGATGTGTTCAAGTAAGCGCCAGCCTTGCGTAGATCCCAAAACCACATCGAGAAAAAGCCATCATGAGCATCGCACCATGTCAGTCCATCTCCATCTCTATATACAATGTCTGACGCTCCCGACCGACCTCTCCGACTTCTCTCCCTCGGTCCGTAATCCACCTCAACCCAATAACCAGACAGTCCAACTAACGCCCATCCAGACGGCGGTGGTGTCCGTGGAATCAGCGAACTGATAATCCTGGACCGTCTCATGCGCCAAGTCCAGCACCGGCATGGCCTCCCCACGGTGCCCAAGCCATGCGACATCTTTGACCTGATCGGCGGTACGAGTACAGGCGGGCTCATCGCCATTCTCCTCGGCCGGTTAGAACTATCCGTCCAGCAGGCCATAGACGAGTATCGCCTTCTTTCGAAGGTGATCTTCGGGCCGACGAAGGCGTTCTGGAAAGATGGGAAGTTTAAGGCTTCGCGGCTCGAAAGGGCTGTTGAGGGTATTGTACGGAAGTATCTAGGTGGTGAGGAAGGATCGACGGTTTTGAAGGGGGAGGGTCGGTGTAAAGTGTGAGTTCTTTTTTCTTTTGTTGCCGCGGGTGTTTGTCTTCACGGGGAAGAGGGGAGGGTATTGATTCTGGTGCATAGTGCTAACCGGGTGAGATAGGTTCGTCTGCGCAAAACGTACCTCAGATGTCGCCGGCCAGACGCATCTCTTCCGCTCGTACTCAGGCGATACCCTCAGCGTGGCGATCTGCGACGCGGCGCGCGCGACGTCCGCGGCGCCCATATTCTTCAAACGAAAGCTTGTCATGCTCAGCGACGGGGAATATGGGTTTGTAGACGGGGCCTTGGGCGCTAATAACCCAGCCAAACTCATGCTTCGAGAGACTAGGGAAGTTTTCCCTCTTGACCGACCGGTCGGGTGCGTGGTGAGCATTGGTACGGGCAAGAAGTTCGTGAGTCCGGTGCAGGAGCCCGGGCGTCTACAACGGTTTTTGCTCCCGCTTCCTGTGCATGTTATTCGCAGCCAGAAGGATTTCTCTACGAGCTGTGAGTTGGTGGCTGAGGAGTTGGAGGAGAAGTTTTACGATCTTCCGGAAATGTATTTTCGATTCAATGTTGAGCATGGACTGCAGGACGTAGGTCTTGATCAGTATAAGAAGTTAGGGCGGATTAGTTTGTTGACGAGGGGATATTTGCAGGGGTTTCTAGTTCGGAAGAAGGTCGAACGGGCGGCTGATTCTTTATATAAGAATGATGGGAAGTGTCTTGTTTCTGACTTGTGACTACTATATACCTAGGTAGCTAGTTTCCATCAAGCAACTAAACTTTCATACTCGGATTCCGCGTCATACAATAGAGCTGGATCAAATTCATTAGCCAAGATCACTTCAAACCAATGGTGAAACATACCTTGCAAGCATCCATCCCATCGACACACTCAATCTCCTTAACCAACTCAAACCCCAACTTCCCATAAATCCTCAAATTCGGCTCCCCCTTTGAACTCTCCAAATAACACTTGACACCCTCCCGATCCGCGCGGTCCGTAACCACCTGCACCAACTTCTTCCCCACCCCCATCCCCCTCATGGTCTCGCTCACAGCCAACACATTACAGAAGTAATACCCCCTCGGATCGGTCCACACTTTGTCGTGCGTCTTCTTCTGCATCGCTTTCCACATATAGTACCGATCGAGACTGAGGCCTCCGCGGCCGCCGAAGCGGATGTTGTAGAGCAGCTGGCGCATCGAGAGGAGCCAGTCCTGGGCCCAGACGGACCAGGGCTGGGACGCGGAGGCGGGCTGGGGGGCGTACCACCAGGAGACGCCGACGACGATGGGGTGCTTGTCGCTGGGCGCGGCTTTGGCGATGTACATGGGCATGTTGCAGTTGAGGCCGTATTGGAAGTGGGCGGCGAGGGAGGCGGCGTTGCGGTTGATGTCGTACTATACAAGCAAGAGGGTTTATCGTATTGATATGGATGTTCTGTTCTATGGGAGAGAGGAAGAGAAAGGGGGAAGGAGAGAGAGAGAGAGAGAAGGGAAGTTGGTTTCCATTGCCATATATATAGACATTTCCACACTCAACATGAAGACATGACTTCCCTGTCCCCTGTCTGGTATACTTACGCTGGCATCGTCGAACAACCACTGGAAGTACGGATCGTCAGCAAACGCGGTCTGCACGCATTCTACGGCCTCGGGGATATCCCGTTTGGTGAGGGGGAGGATCTCGATGGCCATGATGATTTAAGATGGATGGTGGTAATGATAAGGATGGTAGGTAATGGAAATAGTGGAAATGATAACAGTTAGAGAATCAATTGAATCAATTTCTACTGGCTCTGCGAGTGGGTTGCGATAAAGCGATGGTATAGACGTGCGAATGGCGGCGGAGGGGATATAACGACAGCGCCATCTAAGTCGAGGGGGGAGATGGGACTTAGGGATATCGAGAGGGGAGAGAACAGGATGGAGAGGATAGGACGGTAAGCATGGGAGAGAGTACTGTACGACGATGGTCCTTGCTTGGGAACTATATACCCCCCGGGCGGCCATACAGTCACCTGCCCTCGCCCTTCCAGGCTAGCCCGGTCTGGGCAGTTCGACGCGGATAGCATCGCCAGGCAGACGAGCAAATCATGTAAATGATCGTCCATGCCAAGCCACTAGTCCCTGTCGGGCAGGTTGTGCCGGACACAGCTTATCGCCTCTGCTGACTCGCCACTCGTCTCTGTCGCTTCGCCTGTCGGACAAGAGAGGTCAAGTGATCGCCCCGTGACGCTATCAAAGGCTGCTCTTTGCACCGTGGGCTTGCAGTGATGACGGAACGGGGCCCTGCACCGTCCTTCGTTCATCCGTCTTTCTGCCAAGCCATGCTCTGGATCCCTGGAATGCTTGAGGTGACACTGAGACAACAAGATGCGATCTCCGGTAATGATCGGCTGTTGTCCTCGCGTATCTGTATCTGTTGTCAGCTTCAGCCAGCCAGCCATTTGCCATGAACTCTTAAAGTCGGGGGAGCCACTGGTGTGATAGGCAAGATGGATGGCAATAAATGATGTCGAAAAACAAGCGATAAAACCCAGTTCGTTGGCCCGTCAAGCTGCTGCATGTTAACTCCTACTATGATCCATCACAACATTCCAACTAATAAATACTAAACCTTATCTCACTCTCGGATAGGGCTTATCTCAGATCAACTTATCTTATCTCGTTATCGGCCTCAGGAACAATCGAGGGACGAGATAAGATAGAGATATAAGAGAGTATCATCATATCTCAGACCAGTTCTACCTCAGTTTGAAGAACCCTGACATGTCCTTGATGTTGGCAAAGTCCGAGAACATGATACCTTGTCTTGTACAACTCCAGATTAAACTTGCCAGGCTATGGTCAGCATAACAAAACAACCGAGGTTGTATCGGGCGGGCATTGATCAACATTCCTGAGACCCCTATTCCTATCCCCAAACAGTCTCCCCATAGTAGTTGGGATTCAATAATAGATCTCTTCTAGGATAGCAAAAGTGCCAGCTAAACACGTCTCTCGGCCTCAGTGGACGGTCACATTGGAAGTGGAGAGAGCTGCACCCCTCTCCCAATGACCTTTGGGGTTCCCCGCGGAAGCTCCTGCCTATTAATACCAGGTCACTGCCCTCTTCCCCAAACTTGAGTCTCTGCAATCTTCCTCCTTTTCTTCTTTCCTTCTTTCCTCCGTTATCTCTAAGCAACCACCATCATGGCTTCATCTTCCCTCCGTACGTTCTTCTACAAACAAGAACATGCGAAACCACAAACCCCTCACCCTGCCGAACTCCTCATCGATAATGAGTTCCGCCCCTCCGCCACTCAGTCCTGGATCGACGTCCACGACCCGGCAACAAACCACGTCGTCTCTCGAACCCCGGAATCGACCCCCGAGGAATTAAAAGCGGCCGTTACGTCTGCCAAGAATGCATACCCCGCATGGAGTGAGACCAGCATCATGAAGCGCCAGCAGATCATCTTCAAGCTCACCAGCCTGGTCCGCGACCACATGGACGTCCTCGCCACTGCCATCGTCAGCGAACAGGGAAAGACATTCGCCGACGCCAAGGGCGATGTTCTCCGCGGACTGCAAGTCTGCGAGACGGCCTGCGGAATCACCACACAACTTCAAGGCGAGGTCCTTGAAGTCGCAAAGGATATGGAAACGCGATCGTATCGCATGCCCCTGGGTGTGGTGGCCGCGATCTGTCCGTTCAACTTCCCTGCCATGATTCCCCTTTGGAGTCTGCCCATTGCTGTGGTCACGGGCAATACACTGATCTTGAAACCCACCGAGCGGGCTCCAGCGGCGGCTATGATTATCGCCGAGCTCTGTGCAAAGGCGGGTTTCCCGCCGGGTGTGGTTAACGTGATCCACGGGTCCAAACCCGCCGTGGACTTCCTTCTCGACGCGCCGGAGATCAAAGCGATCTCGTTTGTCGGGTCTAATAAGGTCGGCGAATATATTTACAACCGTGGGGTGGCGAACGGAAAGCGCGTGCAGGCGAACCTTGGTGCCAAAAACCATGCTGCCCTGCTGCCGGACAGCAACAAGCACCATGCGATCAATGCAATCACCGGCGCGGCGTTCGGAGCTGCCGGTCAGCGCTGCATGGCGCTGAGTGTTCTGGTCTCCGTCGGCGCCGCCCAAGAATGGATCCCGGATCTGGTTGCAAAGGCCAAGGAGTACCAGGCCGGCAGCGGGTTCAACGAGAAGTCGGATTTGGGACCGCTGATCACTCCGCAGAGTCGCGATCGCTGCCAGGCCTTGATTGCCAGCGCGGAGAAGGAGGGAGCTAAGATTGCTTTAGATGGTCGGGGTTGGAAGCCTGAGGGCTTCCCCGATGGAAACTGGGTATGTCTCAATCTTCTAATAACGAAACTTGACTAACAAAAAAAGGTCGGCCCAACCGTTATAACCGGCGTCAAGCCGCACATGGAATGTTATAAGGAGGAAATCTTCGGACCAGTGCTACTCTGCGTGGAGGTGGACACGCTCGACGATGCGATCAACATGATCAACGCCAATGACTGGGGCAACGGAGCTGTGATTTTCACACAGTCTGGGTCCAGTGCGTCGCACTTCCAGAAGAGAATCGAAGCCGGCCAGCTGGGTATCAACGTTCCCATTCCGGTTCCTCTCCCGATGTTCTCGTTCACCGGAAACAAGAGGAGTGTGGCAGGAACCGGGCTGGCGAACTTCTACGGGAAGGATGGATTGAGGTTCTATACCCAGTGGAAGACCGTGACTTCGCTGTGGCGGTCGGAGGATGCTCATGCTTCTCAGAAGCCGAGTTTTATGGTTTAGTACCGTCATTCCGATACGCAGTATAATTATTTAGCCAACGTAGCCTATGAAATGAATGAATGCATGAGTCAGGCAAAGTGTTCAGCGCATATTCCGATCTTAGGCGGTCCATTCCGAGATCGCAACTATTCCGAGCAAGTCGCTACTAGTCCGAGCCTCGGTAGCGCCAACACCATTCCGATACTGGCCTTCTTTGCTGTCATACTACATTCGAAAATAATGTAAACAACAGCATCTAGCACACTCCATAGTTCAACCCGGAATCCCGGTTGTCTCGCTGGCTGTGTGACAATCCTCTGGTCCGGCACCATCCCGACCAAACTCAATTCCATCCGAGCCATAGACTCAATATTTACAGACCATAGATCATAGATTGCCAAAAAAAAAACCTCAATTCCAATCAAATATATACAAAACCACAAGTTCCCAAGATCTAAATCCAGATCCAGATTAAATTCAAACTGACGTTGTCTCCCTCTCCGACTTCCTATCCCGAATCATCAAACTATAGGTCGCCGTTCCGTGCCCCCCATACGGCACAAAGTCCAACACTAGTTCCTCGACCTGTCGCCACCCGTGCTTTACGTAAAGCGGGTATCCATCCATCGTGGCTTCCAGGTATATGCGCGCGTCTCGCTCATCAGCGTACTCCATGCCCCATTTCAGGAGCTTTGTTCCGATCCCTTTGCCTTGGGAGGAGGGGTGCGTGGCGAGGAAATCGAGCACTATATTTTCTCGTTAGCGAATAGGGTGTATAGAAAAACCACAATCAATAGACCCCCAAACAGAACGACAGAAAAGCAAGAAATGGAACCAAAAGCAAAGAGAGAAGAAGGGCGACATACTCAAATCCCCCTCCCCCAACCAAACCCCCCTCTTCACCTTCAACGTCTCAAAAAACAACTCATAGATCCTCCGATTGGCACCCTCCGGCAACATCCCCCTCGCTTCTTCAATCTTCCTCTTCGCCTGTGGGGACACATCTACCGTTCCGTTCTCATCGCCCGGGAATGTCCACCGCGCCCATCCGACCACTTCATCTTGATCAGTTTCCAGGTCCACGGCCGAGAGGACGTGCGTGTCCGGGGCGGTCAGTTTCTCGAGGGCGCGGGCGTGTTTGAGAGGGAGGACCGAGAAGGGGTCGGGTTGCGGGAAGACGTTGGCCCAGTAGGCTTGGTGCTTGAAGCTGGCGATGTTGAGGGCTCCGAGGGTGGGGGCGTCGTGTTCGGTGGAGTAGCGGATTTGGATCGTGGGATTCGTAGGCATCTTGGAGGGGCTGAGGGGTGGTTGCGGTGGTTGTAGAGGGAAGGAATGCTTTGGAGGGCAGAGAGGGAGGGGAGGTGAATGAGGTGAGATATGTAATAATGGTGCAGGCAGATATAAGGTAGTGAGCAGGTAACCTACGGAGTGGAATTGCTCGGAGTAATAAGAGCGCATTCAAGCTACAGGCGGGGTCCTGATTCGGAATAGATTCCGTGAGTCATGCTAATTATGGTGTTAGTTAGCGGGTGGGTATGGGGTAGGAGAGGTCGGTTGGCAAGTCTGGTTTCGATCTGTATGTATAGTTATGTGACTCGGAGGAGAGATATACCACGTGTGGTAGAACTAGAAGGACTGAACGATATCAAACTGACACAATAGACTGGGATTTATTCTGTAGATTGGACTCCGTCGGCGACCCCGAAACGTTAGCGCGGAGGAGTCGGTTAATTGGAATTGTAGATTCAAGAATGGCCAGATCCAGTCCAGTGGGTGGGCCTGGACTTTGACTATGCACCTTCTTATTTGGGTGGCATCTCATCTACCTACTCTAATATGTACAGAGTGATTGTTGATATAGTATGACTACTGGCATATTGAATCAGTAAACTTACATTGTGTTCCAATAATCATTGTGCATATAAAAAATGTTGAACCGCTTCTCCTTCCTAATGTAATTTAGTGTGTCATCTGATCCACACGGTAGATAGCTCTCGCAGCTACGCTGCATCTTTAGGAATTCAAGCATCTTTCTCATCTTGATCGCACCGCGATCCTGACAAAAAATCTAGTATATCATCTCGAGGAATCAAACTTTTCCAATTCTCACGATCAGTTCTAGCTTACCTCGGCCAAGCAGCATATCAAGCCCCCATTTATCAACATATGTAAGACCCTCATCAGTCCAAGAAACAAGCCGCTAAGCTCTGCAAGAACTATGGGTTGTAGAGACAGAGAAAGGTATGTATAGCAAGACAAGGAGGAAGGGAAGAAGAAGAAAAAGATAAGAGATGCAGTGAGAAGAAGCCTACTTTTCTCACTGGTTTCCTTCCCTATCTATAGGCGTCAATCACCATAACTTCATCCCTGACCTAATTCTCTCACGACAGGTGGGGACGCGAAGGTCGAATACACTTCCGCCCGCGCAGAAATTTCCGAACGGGCACTGCATCGAGACTAACTACCAAGGTATCTATTGCCAAGATCGGCCAGAGGAACCAAGAATATAATAATCCGCGGGCATTGGACGTCAGCGTGGATATACTCTATGGCTTGTTGCTCGCAAGGTCCTCGTACCAAGCCTTAGCGGAGAGGAGGTCTTGGCCAATATCGTTCCATCAGAGGGATTTCTAACGGACATGGCTTTTTCTGTGGAGGAGAACGTCCATCAAGGTCCTCCTTGGCATTGTTGTTGAGATGGTGATCTGATATCCGGAGGGTACTAAGCCACCCTCGTAGGTCGGTATACCCTCAATTCCAAGACTTGAGTCAACTTGGCATCAGCCACAGACGAAAACACGGGATTTCATATCGAAAAGAAAGTTCTACATCCATAGACAGTAGAAATGTATAAAAAGGCGCAAGTCGCTCCAAGAAACCCTACTTTGTAGATCAAATCAGCAGCTCGCATCCCTCCTGCAAAAGAAAAAAAAGGAAGTCAAACCCACTCATAATGACACCCTCCTTCATCTCTCTCCTCCTCCTCCTCTCTGCTGTTCCGGCCATAGCCATCCCCGCCCCCATCCTCACCCCCTGGGACAGCGACAGCCAGACCCTCCCTCACAAGTCCCTCTCCCCCTGGGACGCCGGCGCTGTCAATCAATACCCCATCCACCAAAGCTGCAACGCCACACAGCGTCTGCAGATCGAGACCGGTCTAAACGAGACCATCGCGCTGGCTGATCACGCCAAAGCCCATATCTTGCGCTGGGGCAACGAGAGCTCCATCTACCGAAAATACTTCGGCGATAGTCCCTCCATCGAAGCCATCGGGGCGTTCGATATCGTCGTGAACGGCGACAAGGGCGGCGTGTTATTTCGGTGCGATAATCCTGATGGGAATTGTGATCTTGATGGTATGTACTTACTCACATTTGCCTTTCCCTGTCTCCATCCCACCGCGGATCACTAACCAATCCACCCTATTCCAATAAAAAAAGACTGGGCCGGCCACTGGCGCGGCACCAATGCAACCACAGAGACCGTAATCTGCGATCTCAGCTACACAACCCGCCGCTCCCTCACAACGCTCTGCAGCCAAGGCTACGCAGTGTCCTCATCCAAGCCAAACACCTTCTGGGCCGCGGACCTGCTGCACCGGCTGTACCATCTCCCTGCGATCGGCCAGGGCCTGGTCGAGCATTATGCGGACGACTATGAGGAGGTGATTGAGTTGGCACAGGGCAACCGGTCGAGCCTGGCTACGAGGGACTCGAATGCGTTGCAGTTCTTTGCGCTGGAGGTGTATGCGTTTGATGTTGTTGTTCCAGGGGTGGGGTGTGCTGGGGAGGATGTGGATGAAGGAGAGGGTCATGATCATGAGGAAGACGATAAGGATGAGGAGAAGGAGGATATTCCTGAGGTATGACTTTTCTTTTTTTTACATTCTTTTTCTATTATGGATTCTTCGAGAGGGATGACTGACTGAACGATGGTACATAACAGAACTGCCACACGCACGAAGGAGGAGAGTTGCACTGCACATAGAAGGAGCGCCTAAATCTGCCCGTTCGGGAAAGGCGTCTGAGTTACCCGAACGGGAAAGTGGATCGGTGCCGAACAGACGTTTGATGCGCTGGAGAAGGCGAGAATTGCAACTGCCACCTAATGTGAAGGAGGACCAAATATATGTCTGTTTGTGATTAAAGCACTCTCTTTAATGAAGTTTAGCCATAGGTTAAGGTATAATGATCACAAGAGCCGCAAGAACGGCTTCTCCAATGCCACCATAATACATGATAGAATAATACGAGATTCTATCATCACCCTGCAGCCTTGTAAAAGTGTATTTGAACCCGCTTACACAGGCTGCAACTATGATCCCGGTGATTATGATAAGCAGAAGCGAAATACATTGCACGAAAACCACATAGAGTTCCCGAAAATTGTACCTTTCGCGCGGGAAACTTGGGTAAACCACAAGTATAAGACCAACGATGGTAGAAAAGACCGAAGAAATTTCACCAAGCAATGCAGTTCCGTGGACAGATCCCATGAGCTGTTGGAATGAGACGGCAAGATTGACATTCTCGGGTTCTGTGATTTCCCATCGCGCTCGGTCTCGCAGAAGGATGGCGTATCTCGCAATAGCCGAGTTTAGAATAGCCAACGTCAGGTTCAGGATGAAAAAGGGCAGCATGTGAAGGCGTCTCCGCATCATTTTCGTGGAAAGAAAGTCAGGCATTTTGATTAGACTATGTTGAAACTATCCAGGTGGTGCCTCGATGAAAGTCCTATGCGACGGAGTAGGAATATGAATAAGCAGTATGGCAGACTGTCCTTCGATGTTACTTGGTGCATCTTATCTCGTCTTATATATACTGAGCACTGCTTGGATTATATAAAAGATTCCAGTATTTACAAAAAAAATCGGTATTTATATCTTCCTAATCCCAAGGTCCTACATTTGAAGCGGAAAGTTCCAGTAAAAAGTGGTGTGGATGTAGCACGTCTCAGTAAATCTAAACAAATATAGTTATTCCTTTTCTAAAAAATCTATTCAATGGAACAGTCCAGTAAATCTAAGCAACCTATCCAATCTAAAACGCCACACATGATATATCATAAACCATCAATCAAGCAGAAGCGCAGTGACCGCCGTCCACCCGCAAGTCCGTCCCCGTCATGAATCCGCTGCCATCGGCCAGCATGTATACCGTCGGCGCCTTGAAGTCCTCGGGCACACCGAGGCGACCGAGCAGCGCGCCGCGCATCCAGGTTTCCTCGACTTCGGGCTTTTCTTGCAGAAGGGCGTCGGTCATGGCGGTGCGGATGTACTAAATTTCGTTGAGTCGTTGAGTGTTAGTTCCTGCAATTATCTGGATTGATAAAGAAAGGGAGGGGTGAGGGAGGGACATACACCAGCAGAAAGAGTGTTGACACGAATGTTATACTGCCCCCATTCCTGAGCGACAGAGCGACACATCTGGTGCACGGCGGCCTTGGAGGAGTTGTAGGCTGAGCAGGTAAGGCCCTGTAGTAATCCCATTAGCGAATGATCCTCAGGGGGGTTTTACATTGACCAGTCGCAGCCGGAGAATGGAGCGCAAGAGACCAAAGCATAAGGCAATACTTACCCGGTTCGCAATCTGTCCCGACATCGAAGCAATCATCACAATACTTCCAGGGGTGCCCTGCTCCTTGAAGATCCGCGCGCAGTGTTTCGCAGGAATGAAGGTTCCAATGACACTATTCATCACTCATTAGTAAATCCCCTCCAAAGGAAACGGGGCCAACTCACTTCACATCCATCATCTTCCTCCACCCATCAATTGGATACTCCAACGCCGGCACCATCTGCTGGATACCCGCGCAAGTGATCGCGCCGCGCAACGGCATGCCCCGTTTCAAGCCCTCCGCGGCAATCGCTTCCAGCGCGGCCGACGTCGCCGCTTCATCCGTAATATCGCATTTCGTGTACGTCGCCTGCAGACCCCGGGCCGTGGCGAGTTTCTGGAGCGCCGCCCATTCGGTGCTCGGCTCAATCAGGTCCATACAGGCGACATCGCCGCCGGCTTCGAGCACTGCGTTCGCGAGGACGATGCCGAGACCGCGACCGCCGCCAGTGATCGCAACGGTGCGCTGGCCGAGCGAGAAGAGGTTGGTGGCCACGGAGGGGTTCTGGATAGAGGCGGGCACGCCGGGGGTGGTGAGCTCGGGGGTGACGGAGGAGGGGGCCATTTTGACGGGGATGCGTATGGAGGAAGGGGTTATGGTGAGGGAGTAAAGGAATTTCTCTAAAGAGTGGACTTGAGAAAGAAGAAAAAAACCTGGAGGAGAGATCGGTGACGGTTCTATCTATTTGAATGTCGAGTTTCCAGCGCTTATCTACAACCTAACTGAGTAGGTAAGGGGAAGGGGAACAACTCATACTGCAGATTCCACTGATTCCAATGTCTGGAGAGTCCACCAGACATGGGGTCATGTCCCAACTTTCGAATCAGTTGCTCATCAGGTCCCAAAACAATGCTTAGCCTTACCAACGAGAGCAAGTCGCAGACAGAGGGGGAAATATCTCCACAGATGCAGCAACGGTGGATCCCCTCGTGCTGCAGCGCTTAGGGCTTCCCGATCGCGTAACCCGGGTGCCAGACTCTTTTGCCGATCTCCACATTTTTCCGTCAATTTAGGTCTGGAGAAGCTTGGGTCGGCTAAAACATTAATCTCTTGGGGTTAGCTTGATATTGGTCCCGTATGGCGTTCGACGTACGGACTCGTCCCATGTTGTCTTGGAAGAATCTGGGGTTGGATGTAAGGGATGTAAGGGATGAATGTGGTGATATCTAACCATCATTATGATCGGGGTCTGTAAATCAGAACAATTGCTACAACTGTATAGGGCATAGTTAGTGCTGCAAGGTAAGACCGATAGGATTTAAACCGACTCAACATGAATAAAGTAAAATTCAAATCCCAACCCGAACCGAAACGAAACCGGGTTCCTGACACCAACCGGTGCGCCATTAAATCCTCCCCATCGTCAATTTCTCCCCGCAATTCGCGGATCCATCAGTCCATCGTTCAGCGGTGACGCAGGCAGGGTTTCCCCGTTTTATCCCGTGTGCTGGTCGTATATAAATTCTGATATGGCCCCATGGGGTCAGTGACCCTTGACTTGAATCGGACATCACCAGACACGACGGCATCATGACTTTTCTCGTGGGAAAGCCTCTCACCTACGCCATCACGGCCACTGCCGGTAGTGGCTTTCTACTCTTTGGATATGACCAAGGTGTTATGTCCGGTCTGTTGAGCGGTGATGCTTTTGTCAAGACCTTCCCTGAGATCGATACCACTACGGGCGGGCATGGCAGCTCGTCGTTACAGGGCACGGTGTGAGTTGTCTCCATCTAACGTGAAGGTCGAGAACTGACTAGATTTAGTGTTGCCATCTACGAGATTGTATGTTGATACTTATGACGTCCAGGAGAGTATACTGACTCGGTTAGGGCTGCTTCCTCGGTGCCCTGGTCTCCCTGTTTGCAGGTGAACGCTTGGGTCGTCGCATGTGCATCATGCTGGGCTGCATCATCCTCAGCATCGGTGCTGCCCTGCAGGCCAGTGCTTACTCAATTCCTCATATGATTGTCGGTCGGGTTGTGGCGGGCATTGGAAACGGTCTCAACACTAGTACTATTCGTACGTATCTCGGGTTATATGGGTGAATACGATCTGACGATAGCAGCTGTATGGCATTCGGAACTGAGCAAGGCTGCGAGTCGAGGAAAGGGGGTGAGCAATCTTGGTCCTATCGAGCTCATCATTTTCTAACGGATGCAGCTTGCTATCGAACTTTGCATCAATATCTTCGGTGTCATGACTGCCTACTGGGTTGGTATGTTCACATTCTTCTTCCCGTGCCCTCAGCCATCCAACTAACGAGATAGACTACGGTATGAGCTACGTGCTCAACGAATCACAGTTTCGATTCCCAATTGGCCTACAAATCCTCTTTGCCATTATCACATTTATCGGCGTGCTAATGCTGCCCGAGTCACCTCGCTGGGTAAGTCTTCTCACTCACTGTGATGACCGATTATTAACAACGTGAATAGCTCGTTGCCCACGGCCGACCCGACGAAGCCCGCCGCGTCCTCTGGGCCATTCAGCCCAACGCCCGAGAGATCGAGGAGACCGACCCCGTTGTCAACCTTGACGTTGCAGAGATTGCACAGGCCGTGGCCGAGGAGAACAGTGCCACCGAGAAGGGTTCTTTCAAGATGGTGTTCAAGAACGGACCTCAGCGGTTCTTCCACCGCACGCTCTTGGGCATGGGTGGCCAGATGATGCAGCAGCTGTCGGGTGTCAATTTGATTACCTACGTGAGTCTTCCAGTCACGGTCTCATGGCAGAATCTAATGAATTGATAGTATAATACCGTCATCTTCGAAAAGTCGGTCGGAATGAGTCACAACACCGCGCTCTTGCTGGCCGGCTTCAACGGCGTGGCGTATTTCCTGTCGACTTTGGTTCCGATCTGGACGATCGATCGGTTAGTGATATTCCCTCTCTGTTTGAAATGTGTCTAACGAATGATAGACTTGGACGTCGTAAGCTAATGCTCTTCGCCGCTGCCGGACAATGTGCCTGCATGGCCATCTTGGCTGGTACCGTCTGGGACGGTAGCCACGCGTCCGGCTTGGTGGCGACCGTCATGCTTTTCCTGTTTAACTTCTTCTTTGGAGTTGGTCTGCTGGCTATCCCGTGGTTGTGTATGTTTTACTCCCTAACACCATCACCTCACTACTAACGCACTATAGTACCCGCGGAATACGCGCCCCTGGCTATTCGAACCCGCGCAGCTGCCCTGGCCACGGCAACCAACTGTAAGCCACCCATTCTCTTGAAATATCTAGAACCCAATTGACAAATATATTAGGGATCTTCACCTTCTTGGTCGTGGAAATCACTCCCGTCAGTATCGACAACATTGGCTACCAGACGTATATTTACTTTGCGGGTAAGTCATGCCCTCTGTGTTTAAACACCAATGGCAATACTAACTCTACAATCGTAGTATTCAATTTCTGCTTCCTCCCGCTCATCTACTTCTTCTACCCCGAGCCCCGCAACCTCACGCTGGAGCAAGTGGACCGGCTGTTCACGGGCGAAAAGGTGCTGCTGCACTGGCATCCGTCGATGGGAGCCGCGGGGGATCCGAACCATCGCGTGGGCGAGAAAGAGGCGGAGTCGGTGGGGGTGCAGCATGTCGAGTGAGGAGATTTACGGAGTATGGAAGGGTTTGGACGGGACGGGGATTGTTTATGGTCTGGTGTTTCTATGTTCTTTGTGTTTTGTACGAGTACCCTACATTTTGCATTTCTACTACTAGATTTTTTGGTTCTATCTATACCATGGTTTTTATTTTTCACCCTGCCTTATTGTTATTTCTATCTTTTCAAATATTATACTTTTTTCATTTATTTTGCTACGTACTCTACTCCGATCGTTCTCCGTGATCTTTCCCCTTTTCGACCAACAAGCTGACTGGCCTCGTCTCGGACAGTCCCCGGTTCCCCCACAGTCTCTTCTCCCACGGGCCACCGTGACACACTTTCCGGTTCCCGAGGCCGGGGACGCCTGCGCTTATCGATTCCCGATCAGGTAATCTACCCGGTTCGGCAACGCTAGACGAAGCCTCTGCCGTCATTCCTGCAGGACGGAGTAGTTCTGCCCCAGACATGTCTTCCCCATTTCCTTTTCGGCGCAATCCGTAGAGTCTGGACATTGACACTGACACGCTCGCTCCCACATCCATGTCATCGTCATTCTATCCGCCAACCTGCCAACATCCAACATTCTCATCATCACACCGCCATGACGCCCACGCCCACGCCAGCTGCCCCCAATACGAGTACTAGTACTACTCCTACTGGTAATTATAATAGTACCAGCGCCAATCGCCACGGCCACGTCCCGCGCAAACGCACCCGCACGGGCTGCTTGAATTGCAGTCGTCGACGACGGAAATGTATGTTCTTCCCTTGCTTGGGCGTTGACCTTCTTTCCCAGTGTAGTAATCAAGTGCGAGGACTATGATTACCGGAACGGGTAATTCTCATCGGCTGGAGCTGAAGTTGATCCTAGCTTTAAGCCTAGGCTTAACTATGACTGCTGCTAGACGGATCAGATCGGGCTCACTGACTGACTTGTTCTCGTTCGTTCGTGCCTTGCAGGTGACGAAGTAAAGCCCACCTGTACGGGATGCAAGCGCCGCGGCGACAAATGCCAGTGGCGCATGCTGGGGTCGTTTCGGGATGCCAATCTGAAGGTCTTGGGGCCGGAGCATCCGTCCATGAAACAGGGTGGGAATGCGGGTGGTGGTCCTGGGGCGGGGAATGGGGGGAGGGGGGCGAGGCAGAGTAAATTCAAGGTATATCGTTCTTTCCACCTTCTTCTGTTGCTCGAGTTCCCCTGTGAGGGTGTGTTTGGCTGATCTGGGTAGATCTTGAACGTGGTCCCTTCGGCATCCTCGTCGGCATCCCGACGGACGAGGAAGCATGACGGCTCCAGCTTGGCCTCAGGGTCGGGTCAGCTTCAGGCTGAAAAGAGGGCTGTGAATGCAAGTCCACCGTTGGTGTCGCCACGTGTAGAAACCCCAGCCCCGGCTCCGGCTCCGGTTCAGTCTCACGTCCAGGGCCCGATACACCATGCACCAGTGCAAAAGCAGATGCATTCACCGCTGCCACACCCTCACCCACATCCCGATTTCAACTGCCCCAGTCAAGCATCTTCGCCGTCTCTCTCCAGCGGCATCTCATACCACCACCCATCATCACTCCGACCTTTCGACCCTCACTCGCCATCCGACACCATTCCACTCGACGACGCTTCGGCACCCGCCACCCAACACCAGCCCTATCTTCATTCGAGTCCCGAATACGTCGTCGACGAACTCGCCGCCCTCCGTCACCTTCCACCCGGCGCGGCAGGTCACTCGTTCGCGGCCTCCTCAGGCCCGGACGCCTATCCGACCATCGCGTCGCCTCTCTTCGACCACAGCGTCTTCTCAGACCCGGCGAATTTCACCAACGATGTTTTTCTGCCTGGCTCGGCGTACGAGGCGCTGCATACCGCCCTCCGCAATCGCCAGCTGTGGACAGCTCGACCGGATATCCCGAGTCGGGGCGGCTCGCCGGACGGGTTCGGCGGTGTGGCTGCGTCCGCGGACCAGATGATGGATAATGTGCGTTCTGGTCCGGGTCATGGTCCTGGCCGATACTTTGCGTTGTCGCCGGAGAGAGAGAACGTGTTGTGGCAGAATTATCTAAATGAGATTTGTCTGTGGGTGCGTTGACCCCTTCCACCATCTCTTCCCCTTCTACCTCCTGCTTCCAGTCCCTCTGCAAGACAACAGACAACCAGCTAACACCAACAATGAAATCAAACGAACAGCTCGACATGTTCGACAACCACCGCCACTTCGCATCCACATTCCCACAAATGGCCAAATCAGCCACCCATCTGCGCTACTCCATCCTCGCCCTCTCCGCGCGACAGATCGAACGCAAACAGAACGAGAAATCCCAGTCCGAAAGCCTCTCGCTGTATCAGGAAGCCATTCACTTGCTGCTCCCGGAGCTGGAAAGTAAATCGACGCCGGTGATCGCGTCGTGTGTCATTCTTTGCGTATTGGAGATGTTGAGTTGTATGTTTGTTTGTTCCTTTGCCCCTTCTAGGCATTTCTATCCACTCCCCTGTCCGATGTGTGGTAGAAACATGCATGTCTAGAATGAATGCTAATTCAAGCATGGGGAACGAAAAGGCAACCCCAAAGAGTGGCGACGACATCTAGACGGCTGCGCGTATCTCATCCAAGCGGCCGAGATTAACGGTTTCTCGGGGAAAGAAGAACAGGCTCTGTTTTGGTGTTTTGCGAGAATGGGTCAGTTTTCCCTCCTTTAATCCCCTCTCATCGCCCGCATTATCTATCTTTCCGAACCTTTACCCAAACCATATAATCATATATATGCTGATGCGTGTGCATGCGAGTGTGTATAAATAGACGTCTGCGGCGGCCTCATCTCCGAAGAAGAAACCATCATCCCCATGACACACTGGATCCCGAAGGGTATGGACTCCCGGGAAGCCAGCGCTCTATTTCTTTCATCGTCAGATGTCTGCACGTTCGACACGTACGCGAACTACACCGTCTATTTATGCGCGCAGACGCTTGGGGTACTATTTGGCCCGACGTCATCGTCGACGAGTACATCCACGACTGCGGCGTCATCTGCGTCTTGTATCTCGTGTCAGTATCTAGGCGGTAGTCCGCGGGACGATGGGGAGTCATCGTCGTCGTATCCGGTGCGATGGAAGAGGCTGTTTGATTGCGTGGAGGAGTGGTATGAGAAGAGGCCTTGTCAGATGAAGAGTATTTTTAATGTCGCGGCGGGGGGGACGTTAGGAGGTGGTGCTGGTGGTTGGGGGAGAGGGGGGGGAGAGAGGGAGAGGCCCTTTCCGACGGTGTTGTATGGGAATGGGTCGGCTAGTATGTTGCCTGTCTTCCTTTCGCTTGTCTTGATGGGTCGAATATGGTGGATGAGGATGATGCTAACATTGCCCATAGTCTCTGGAAACCAGCTGTACCATGTGTGTGCGCTGCTCTTGTTACAACGGAAGCCGAAGACGTTGGCGTTGGCGAAGAGGCCGGTGAGTTTCTCCCCTCCTTCTATCTATCTATACGGAACATGCCTCGACTCGGCATCTACGATCCCTACCACCACCACCACCACCACCACCACCCAGTCCCACAGTCAAGCTAACCTACCTTCCTCATCAGAAATCCCCCCTCTGGCACGCCCGCCAAATCTGCGCCATCTCAGCGTCAAATACACACCAGTACGTCCCACTCACTCACTCACTCACTCAACCTTGCCTCCCTCCCTCTCCCCTGCAACCCCTAACAAAATTAACAAATAAAATAGTGGCTGCTGGACAAACGCCCTCCAACCCCTCTGGGTAGCCGGAAAAGCCATGTCCCATCACTCCGAGCACGCCGCGATCGTAGAGACCTTGACGCGCATCGAGCGCGAAACAGGATGGGCGACGGCGTGGCGAGTAGAAGACCTAAAGGAGTTTTGGGGTGATGATGAAGTTGACGGGGATTGGGAGTTTGGTGGGGGGGAATAATAGTTAGGGAAGGGAAGGGAGGGGAGATAGTAGGACTAGGCGGTGTGGTGTTGATCTTTAGTGGACGGGTTGGGTGGGTAAAGAAAGGGGTTGGGCTTTTCCTGCTCTGCTTTGCTCCGTAAAAGGGGGGAGTGCTATGACCATGTGCTATGTTGCTAGAACTTGGGCTGGATTATGTGATGATGTGCTATGAGATGATACGTTACGACTAACTCGATAGATGAATAGATGAGCATGAACAATTTGACGAAAGAAAAAATAAAAGAAAAAAAATGTGTGTTTGAGATAGAGAGCGGGAGAGGGGGAGAGAGAGATCACAGGCCAGGAGCCAAGGAGAGTTCGAAACCAGGATCATTCGAGGTCCTGTGCATTCCTGAATCCAGGCACAAGATGAGAACAGAGACCTCCTATCTTTAATGTCCCAGCAACCGGTTCTCGAATTCATCCCTTGGTCGCTGTTTCCGGGCCAATTGTCCGGCATGCAGAGGTTGAGGATCGTAATTCAGCGTGATGGTCATAGCTATTGGTCTGGAGTTATTTGGCAGTGAAATTTTACGTCTAGGGTGCTTTTATTCCATTGCTTTGGCTAGTTTTGAAGAATGAAGGGAGTGGAGGAGATGGTCTAGTGTGCCGTGTGGACTTGGGTTAAGATGAGGGAACTGAACTAAGGGGTGGACGCTCGGACAGGATGAGAAAAAAAGGGAAAGAGAAAAAAAAAAAGATAAGATAGAAAAGAGAGATGGTTAAGGGGTGCGAGAGGTGAATCCTTCACCTTCGTACTCTCTAACTGATCGGGTCACTATATGCTCTGTGCGAGAGACTAATTTATAGATGTCTGTCTTCGTCACGAAGAAAGGAGAGGGGGTGCCCCTATTTTAATCGTGAAGGCTTTGGTGCAGCCCTGTAAGTTGTAGCGTATGTAGCTAGAAATACGATATTTTGTCGAGTTGTGTTGATAATTTGCAGCTTGTACTCCGTATGGATTGTAGGATTTTATATTTTCCCGATTGGAAATGAGTGGTCATTATTTGTAGTTTGTTGGATCCTATTTGATCCTGCGGAAGTATATTCTAGAGTCTTTTGTTCGTCACTCCGGATCTTTGATGGATGGCATACAGTTTTAAAGAGTGTAAATCAGAAATTACATTTGCAAATAAGTTTAAGCTAGACGCAAAGACGGTATGGGCACAGGGTAGAGTTGTAGGTTATCAGGATTAAGAACAATAGGGAGAAATATATCGAGTAATATAATCCACTTCAGACCAAACTATATATCCACGATACGGAGTAGCGCCCACTCCATACAGACTATATTTAGTGCCGAGGGGCTTAGTTACTATCACTGTTTTCTCCCTGAAGAGATCACCCTGAACGCCCGAAATTTCAAGGCAACAGTAAACATCTACTCCGTACTTTATTCTAGATAAACCCCATCCAACCGCCGCATCCATAAACTCGGTCCACACGGTCAAATCTAGATCCAAGGATAGGAGTGGATTCTTGCCCCGGGGATGACAGCGAAGTGATTATTGGTCCCAAAGGAATGCAAGTCGCCGAATGCAGTGAAATGTTTCAGGCACCACGTTGAGTTCGTTCGGCAAGTGCCACCAGCTGTACGCCGCCAGAAGCAAGTTAAGGCAGTTGCCAGCCAACCAGCCCTTCTTCACACTCTTGCGATCTTACCTTTGTCGCTATTTGATTTGATCGTCGCATGCTCCTCCCTGTATACCCTATCCTACGTTGACCTTGCGGAGGGGGTCGGTTACCACATTTGCATCGATTATCGATTGCTGTTTGTTTTACTTGTTTTGATACCCTCTCGTCGACATCCTCACCCTTCCCACTCTTTGTCCACCGACCCAGGAAAGAACAGACACAAAGGAAATATGAGTTCACCGGACCTATCACCCGTCGGGGTCAAGCTCGCCCTCAAAGGCGGAAAACGCGCCGTCTCGTCCACCAGCACCATCGCCGTTGCCCCCGAGAACGATTTCCTCCCTCCGCCCGCTAGAGGCCTGACGGCTTCGGCTGTCTCCAAAGAGTTCGACCCCAGTGTGGGCGCAAAGCCCTCGTCACCGTTCTACAGACACGCCACGCCATCGGTTAGTATGGCCAAGTTCAAAGCTCACACGAAGAGCAACGTCGCGGAAAATGGTTACGACCTCGAGAACAATCTCCTGGATCCTAGGCAAGCTTCTATGGGGGAGGACGAATGCAATCGGCAGTCGAAGCTCTGGGTGCAAGAGAAGCGACGGTGCGGGTGTATGAGATCGCTGTCGAAGAAACAAAGGCTGGCGTTGAAGGCAGTCATTGCGATCGGGACGCTAGGGAGTATGATCGCTATCGCGCTGGGGATTACGGCGGCCGTTGGAGGAGGCGTGTGGAGATCGGATCATCAGCATCGGGTGATTGGACAGGAGAGATGAATTGTTCCTGAGCTGCGCGTTTGATTTCATCCCCGGGGTTGCGCCATAATGTCAGGATGGACTGGACAGCGGCATATTGAGTCGCAAGAATCACAACGGAGGAAATTGGTATGGCGACTCCGATGTAAATGTACTCGCTACGGGAGATTGTACAGAAGCGGGAATGGGATGGAAGCGTGTATGCAGTCAGTTGGGCGAGGTCGAAGAATGAAGCTATTGATATGTTATTTTTACGATAACGGCGATCCCCCGGGCCCGGTGCCTGGGTGCCTGGAACTAAGGGCGCCAGGCTAAAGGTTCGGTTGCGCGGAGTAATCCCGGCCCGACCACGTGACATCTCCCACAGATAAAAGAATCTCGGCTGATCCCTTCCTTCCTCCTCTTTTCTTTTCCTTTCCACATCAAAAAGTTAACAGAGCCTGCCACGACCTCCGCCCAGAATTTTCCACGGCGGTGTGTTGCCTTCGGTCCTCCGGGACTGATCGGCTCTGGAGATTGACTTTCCTTGATAGGAAGTTTGCCTCTCGTTGGGTCCTCTTCAGTGAGGGCGATGAGGGGTGAATGTCGATAGACGGGATACATACTTTTCTAGATTTCAATTATTATAGCCATTTTCCGAGACGAATGTTTCGCTATCGTATGTTGGATTTGTCGGACTATTTGTTCGATCGGCGTCTGGAACAAGGCTGCTGTAAGTCGGAATTCTGTTTCGCTTCGGGACTTGCTGGACTGCCATGCTATTTTGTAGGTGCAGCTGTGGTGCCTTGGTGGTCCAAGCTCCATGATGCCAAGCATTGCAGGCCTCAGGCCGGTTGTGAGCCCTGACCAGGCTGCGCGGTAAAAGACCTCTGTGGATGTCAAAACATCTCGGCCAGCACATGCGGTATGACGAGCTTATGCTCAGTTCTTGCATACTTCGGATCATTCGGTCATCCCGTCGGCAGGCCATCACCTAGGTTGTTTACATACCGATCCCCAGGCGAAACTCGCTCGAGAAATGAGGAATGCCGCGCAAGACCGCGAACCTTGGAACTGCTCTCCTCCCAGGGCACTCAAGACCACAGTGCCAGGATCACACCCATTCTTGAGGAACATTCTCATCATCCAAGCAATGCAGTGGCCATCTTTGTTTGTTTGCTCGTGCGGCCAGCTTGGCATACCATCGCGGCTGGATCACAACACCTGATGCATGATAAAAGGTTGCGAGAGCCGGACAGTTTCTAGATGTTGAATTGTAGGTAAATCTCGAGTCGCGGCAAGGATATAGTTCGAAATTTCATTCTTTTCTTGTTTCTTTTCACCCCCTTCGACAATCCTAACGTTTGGCCGCGTGTCCCGAAGTCACTCTTTTGATTACCTATTCTTCTCTCGACCATAATTTCGCCAATCCAGTATAGTATTTAATTTGATAAACCAAACAGCACACAGCAAGATGAAGGGATTACACGGAGGTATCCCCATCGCGGTCCTTGCCGCCGTGGCTAGGGCTCAGGTCGATGTGATCGGCGGATCTGACGGCTTCGACTCCGGCAACGCGGGAGGTGTTATCACCGAGAATGATTTTGGCCGGGCTACCCATGAGGTGAACAAGGATGACCACCACGTGGATATCAACACCAAGACCAAGGTCGATGTGGATTACGACGCCTACCCCGACCCGTACTGGCACCACTGGCACCCGGATGGTCGGCCTCACTGGCGCCGTGGCCACGGGGGTGACACCACTGTGATCGGAGGGCCCAATGGTATCGACACCGGAAATGACGCAGCCTTGCCCACGAAGAATGAGGCCGTGTCCAGCGTCAAGGAAACGAACCTTGACGACCACTCCGACCATTTGAAGGCCAGCGCCAATGTCGATGTGAACTCGCACTGGCACCATTGGAAGCGTCAGCCAAGCCGCTGGAACCCGCCTGCCACCGTGATTGACGGCCCTGGCGGCATTGACACTGGCAACAGTGCTTCTCTGCCGACTACCAACAAGTTTGCCTCGTTCTACAAGGAGCACAACAAGGATGACCACTCTGTCGACATCGACCAGAAATTCAAGTATGACTACGATGTGCACGGCCACCCTTACCCAGTACCCGTGCCTGCGCACCCCTGGAAGCGTGACCCCAGCCACCACCACCCGCCTGCTACTGTGATCGATGGTCCTGGCGGTATTGACACTGGCAACAGTGCTTCTCTGCCGACTACCAACGAGTTTGCCTCTTTCTACAAGGAGCACAACAAGGATGACCACTCTGTCGACATCGACCAGAAATTCAAGTATGACTACGATGTACACGG